AACACTGAGGAGGGAGATTGTCCTAAACTGCTCGATGTTACTTGCATTCTCCTCCTTGGGAATCCACACGCCTTCTGCATATCTCCACTGCTGAGGTACTTTCCCTCTTCTCCAGATGGTTCTTAGAATCTTCCAAAGACGTTCCAGAAGCCTGGGGCAATGTTTGAAGACCTTGTATGGAACTCCACTTGGGCCCGGTGCTGATGATGTTCTGGCCGATTTGATAACCTCTTTGACTTCCTTTAGGGTGGGTTCGTTGATGTTAAATAGGGTGCTAGGTTCAGGTGGACATATAAGGGCTGCACAGTGACCAAGATCGTACTCCCTCATGCCATCGCTGTAGGTGTTACGGATATAGCGGTTGATATCCTCCTCAGGACATGAGAGTTGACCACTGCGTTTCTCTCCCAGCAGCTTCCTTGTAAAACCGAATGGATCTGCAATGAAGGCACTGCGCCTACGGGCCCTCTCCTTGCCCCTCTTTCTGTGCCACTCAGCCCGCCGAAGGGTGATTAGCCTTTTCCTTACCACACCCCTAAGTTCTGCCAGGGCTACCTTCTCCTCCTCGCTTGCCTTCCGGTACTGTCTCCTGAGTGTCCTCAGCTCTTGTCTGTGTTGGGTAATCTTGACCTCTCGTCGGTTCGGAATTGGTGCCGCAGTAGACGTCTTGGTGGCGCGCTGTTCCTTGGCGCCAAACCTTTCTGAAGCGATGCTGATTATGAATGTGCTCATGGTTCGGAGCCTCTGGTCCACACCACCCTTGGCTGTTGCTTCAAGGGCTGCATCAACATCTTCATCAAACTGTCGCCACACTGACTCTTTGTTGGCAGCAGGCCACAAAAACCGACGCCGCTCTGATGGTCTGCTTTGGGGTGTAGCTTGTGGTGCTTGGAGGCTCTGGGCACTGTGGTATGTGTCCGGGCCTGGTTCCTCCTCCGTCTCACCAGGTGCTATACTGAGTACTGGCACTGTGCGTTGCGTCACAAGCTTCCTTAGGCAGCCCATCTTGGTCTGGTGTATTTTTAGACCAGTCGTGTTTTTGCAGACCTTGCCACATTTGCAGACTGCACTCGTAGTCGATTGTCCATTTGCATTAGTCGTTGCCAGAAAAACAGTCCGTTCGGGGCGCTCATTCTCCCCCCCTCTCGGGCGCCCCTGGGGGTATTTCTCCTTAGGGTTTTTCGTAGCGTGTTTTGGGTGCTCCCTCTCGGGAGCTGCAGTTTGGGGTGCTAACCCGCCCTGCCCCGGTTGCCGTCTCTCCGCGCTGTCCACTGTCTCTCCAGCTGTCACCACACTTTCGAGGTCGTCATCCAGCCTTTTCCTGGAAGTCAATGGCGATGCCATGCTGGCTTAGTACTTGAATACACCTTGTGGTGCAACCTGGACACATCGTCAGTGATACTCCCGGGGTCATAGGGTGTTTCGGGTCTTACATCAGACACCCTCACCCGGGCGACCCAGCCGGGGGTGATCAAGCCCCGACTTGTGTCCAGGTAGCGCTCTACGCCACGCGTCCCCCCTCCTTAACCAGAGCCACCGTGCTGCCTTCTCAGCGGCTTCCAGGATGTTCTTGATGGCTCTTTGCCTGTGCAGTCCGCAAATCCCTAAGAGTCCCAGGACCCGGTGTAGAGACTGGCCTGCGAAGCCCCTACAGCCCACTTCAACAGGCTCACAGCGGGCCTTCCACCCATTCCTCCGACACTCCGCTACCAGATCAGCGTACTTGGCCCTCTTTCTTTCCTGGGCTTCCTCCATTCTATCTTCCCAGGGGACCGTTAGTTCCAGTAACACCACCTGCTTACTTGCTGCGGACATCAAGACCATGTCCGGTCGTAGTGATGTAACTGCAATGGTGTCTGGGAACCTCAATTGAGTCCCCAGGTCCACCAGGAGGTGCCAGTCTCTTGCTGTTGCAAGGACGCCCCCTTGGGTCTTTCTAGGGGGCTGAGGCTTCTCTCCTGCTCGAACAAATGCAATTGCAGACAGTAAGAAATCAAATAAAGCAATATTACAAATCTATATAAAATGTGATTTCATGGAAAATATTTTAAAACTATATATTTTTGTTTGTTTATTCTTTATTTTCTTCATTATTGTTCTATTTATCATCTATAAAAGAGGATGTGTAATGTAATAAGCTCAGGTCTTGATATACTCATCAGATTTTATTAGAAAGAGCGATGGGCTGTAGAAAGGAAGGAAAAAAAGTTAATGTCTTTTATTCCAGTAAATGCAATTATAAGGATGCAGCTGAGCTGACGCATTAGTGTTGTAATTTAAGTAAAAGTCCATGTTCAATTCCATCTATTCTGCATCCTTGGGTCTCTGAAGATGAGATTAAGTCTTCATCTCATCTAGAATGTCAAGAGTCTTCTTAATAACGCACGCAAGGGTTGTGGTTTTTAAACGCATCCCTGTGGAAATGGTCAGCTTAGATTAGTTGGTTTGGTTCTGGTTAGCTGATGGTGGATTCCAGTTAAACCGAGATAGGTCCGACTGCAGAACCGCAGAACCATACGTCATAGCAGTGTGAGGATGACAGCGCCAGCCTGACAGTCTGATGCCGGAAGTGGGCGTGGCCAGGCATTGCGCTACTTCTGTGTTTTAGAACGTTTCAAAGTTTAAAACAATGCTATTATAAATATTTGTTTAAACGATTTAATTAAAGATATGTTTAAGATGTGTATATATATATATATATATATATATATATATATATATATATAGTTGTGTGTATATATACAGGTGAAACTCGAAAAATTAGAATATTGTGCAAAAGTTCATGTAATTCAGTAATTCAAATTAAAAGGTGAAACTAATATATTTAGTATATATAACTATATACATATGCATGATTATACTTTTCAGAGGGCCGACATTTCTGTATTTAAAATCCTTTTTTGTATTAATTTCATGTAATATTCTAATTTTCTGAGATTTTAAATTTGGGGTTTTCATAATCTGTAAGCCATAATTATCAAAATGATAACTTTAGCACGATATTCGAATTTTTCGAGTTTCACCTGTATGTATGTATATATATATATATATATATCAAATATTATAAAATATAATAATTATTTGTCCTATTAACAAAAGACAATATATTACTACTATTAAAAATGCTTTTCAATTCAATCAAATGTTCAAGCTTTGTTTTAATTTTATTATTATTTTTGTTTAAAGCTTTATTCAATTTATATTGTTAATCATTTGACACAACAAATGGATAAAGTATAATTTTAACTTTTAAAAAACAATTTTGTTAATACTCAACCATTTCACAACTAACAATTTTTTTTCATAGACCAAACAACATAATTCTATGGTGGACTGAAACAAAAATGATTAATTAAATACAATTATTTTTTTCCTCTGAAATGGCAAAAGCATCACACACAGATGTACCTGCTCTAAATAGCTAAATAATAGTAATTAAATAAAAATAAAAAATCGAACTAAATAAAATAAATTATAAAAAACAAAATCAAACCAAAGAAAATAAAAGCGAGTGTCATGACGAAAGGCGCCTCATGAAATCATCAGGATTAACTCCATGTGTATGGAGTTTTGATCTATTTAGTTTATTTGTCACTTGAAAATTATTGTTAAATGTGTGCCTGCATAACTTTAATAAGATTTATTTTCTTTGGTTTGATTTTGTTTTATATAATTTATTTATTTTATTTATTTTGATTTAATTACTATTATTTATTTGGAGCAGGTACAGCTAGTGTGTGATGCTTTTGCTATTTCAGAGGGGGGAAAAAACACATTTTATTTAAAAAATGCTTTTCAATTAAATCAAATGTTCAAATACTCAAGCTTTGATATTGTTAATCATTTGACACAAAACAGATGCATAAAGTATCATTTTAACTTAAAAAACACTATTAACATTTGTTAATAGGCTACATTGCCTGTCTTTTGTTAATAGGACAAAACATAGTTATTATACTTTATAATTTTATAAATATCATATTTTATAATATTTGATATATATATATATATATATATATATATATATATATATATAGGCCTATCTCTTAAATATATATTTTGAATGAAATCGTTAAAAAATATATTCATAATAGCATTGTTTTAAACTTTCTAAAACACAGAAGTAGCGCAATGCCTGGCCACGCCCACTTCCGGCATCAGACTGTCAGGCTGGCGCTGTCGTCCTCACACTGCTATGACGTATGGTTCTGCGGTTCTGCAGTCGGCTACTATTGGTTAAACCAGCTATATCTGTCTTGTCAAACCAGAAAAATACCATCAGCGTACATGCGCAACCCATTATTATATAAGTGATGCTGTTGTAATGACGGCCAGCTAGTAAAGAGCTGTGCAAGTAAACCTCACTCCCCTATAACCTCAATAGGGTTATAGGCCTCACGCTAGAAGCTGCAGTTTTTAGGGTGTAACGGAGGCCAGCTAGTAAAAAGCGGTGCAAATAAACCTCACTCCCCTGGCCTCAAGAGGCGCGTCTTTAGCATCCTTGTTAGCACGTCCACCTCCCATGCCGGTGACGCTGGTTTGAATCCTGCTCAGAGCGCATGTGAGTAGGACCAGTTATGGCTGGTTCACACAGATACGGGCAGTGGAATGGGGAAAAAACGCAAGATCTCAAGACGCGTCCTTTTAAAGTTTAACTTATTTGAACTTGAACGCCACCTTTTTAGAATGCAAGACGTGAGCACAACGGTGAAACACGTCTGTCTAGTGTGTGTTTACATACACATTTCTGATATGAAGGACAAATGGATTTGCAATGGACACTTTGTCCCATCCAGTGTAGACAGCTTCTAGCTTTTGCGGCACAGCGGGACAACGGTCGCGTCCAGTGTAGACACAGTTTTAGGTTCAACAGACAATCCCACAATTCAAACCAGACAGGAGTACCTATGGATCCTTGTGCGAATGCCTCTTAAGTTAATCTCTGTCCAAAGTTCATGGATATTGCAATGAATATAAAGTAGAAGAAGGCAAGAAAAAAATCAGATAAACTCATCACATTTATTAGACTCTCAAACAGTATGTTACTATAAGGAAGCACTTAATGACAGTTGATATTTGCTACTCTAAATGATCATAATGGCAACACTGTATATGTTTTGAGAAAGAGCATGAAACAAAATACATTTATAGCACCATTTCAGTTGTTGCAAACAGTCTGGGAGCGCAGGTACTATATGTTCATGTGTTTCTCATTGGGAAGCTCATAATTTAGTCTTAATCTATAACATACAATATATACATACAGTACTTTAATTCCACATGTCTCTCTATCTGCAAAAATACTTCCTAAAATATTTCTCATTATTTCATTGTTCTGTCCATAGCTGCCTGCCTTCCTCTCACTCGTGTGCTTTGTATCAGTACTTGACATCCGGAGCGAACCGGACTACTCCCCGACTCCGTGGTTCTGATCGTTCCACCAGTGGTTCTCCTCCAGAGGTACCCTCGGAATAATAATCGCTGACTCGTCCGAGGCCAGACTCAGATTCTCTAGGAAGCAGCACAGTGTTATTGCCAAAGGAGGAGCGGAAGGGCGACAGAGGGAGAGAAAGAAAGAGAGACACAGAGACACAACATGAGGTGTTTTATCTGGTAGATAGCATTGTGCACTAGAAGAAACAAGTCTTTGAGCATCCTGAGACCACTTTTTACTCGTTTCTATTTATAGAGATTCTATTTGTAGCGAGACCAATGTAAGTGAAAATAGATCAAGCATATGTTCGAATGAAATCTAATATCCAATAACAAATGCTAAAGAAATAATTTACAGCCTTGAGTGCCTTCCGTTCTGTATAGTGAATATAGTCGCGGCTAAAGGATCTTGTTTGGCATAACGCGCAACAGTCTTTAACTCATTTAGCTGGGACTAGATTCACAGTATGGCACAACTTCGCAGCAAAAGCACATTGTAAGTAGTAAACTTTGATGCAAAGGGAGAAAATATGAATACTTTTTATGATAAGGTTGTCTGTTGTTGTTCTAATACTTTGATTAATGATAAAGGATGGAGCAAGATTTGTTTTACAAACTTTAATGTTACATCAGCCATTCACGTTAGTGCTCGGCTAACATGCACTGTTATTGAGACCGTTAATGATACAGTTCCCACATGTGCACCACAATAAATAAGAAATATACACATAGGTTTTGGACATAGGCCTACACTTGTTAATGCTGTTGGTGAGGAATTACAGTTGCAACATATCATAATTGTACCTTAAACTGAGTAGCTTATCACTGAGAAACGTCCTGCTCTAGCCATCCTTGCTATGGAGGGTCGGTTTGAATAACTATTGTTCCAATGTTTCGTGCTCGGATTGATATGGTAAAATCAGTGTCATCGTTACTGTCTTTACAGTGTGTAAAATCGCTGAACTTTAGGAAGCTTCCGGACGGAGCTGAAATTCAGTTACAGTATGTTAATGGACGTTATAAAATAGTGTAAAAAGAACAGCAATCCAAGACTTTGAAAGTCATGCTATTATTAAATAAGTAAACATATGTATTTCTAATATTTCTTAGTTAAAAATTGTACTGTATTTCTAGGTTACTAATTAAAGGCAAATTTGTCCCACTTTTTTTTTCTTTTAAACAAAACCATTTTCACTACTGGTCTCAGATGTTTGGACCCCACTGTATATAAATAAATAAATTGATTAATTATGACTGTAATCTCAGGTTGTTCAAAGGAAAAGTGCAGAAATAAAAACCAGCATGAAAACAACAAGACAGACACCACTAAACAAGAATACAATGTGCTGTGTTTCTAAAACTAAAGCAGTTTAAATAGCAAGTTCAATTTCATTAATCTTTTGAATAAAAAAGAGAAAAGAAATTAATCTATGAGTGACATTTAAAGTTCACTGTAAATGGATTGTTCCAGCGTTAAAGGGTTAGTTCACCCAAAAATGAAAATTCTGTCAGTAATTACTCACCCTCATGCATGGGCGTCGGAACCATTGTATATGGGTGGGACAAGACCCACCCACTTTTTAAGACCAATGATCTGGAGCCACTCACTTTTACCGTCTCTAATTCAGCGCATATGTCTGTTCGCATTCCGGAGTGCGTCATTCAAATCCATTCCACTTGAGGAATGCCCTGATAAACTGAATCGCTGCATTATATTATTTCTTAACGAGCCGCAACTGACGAAAATAACCGCCCGCTGTACCCTTTCAGTCAAAATATTGCGTTGCAAACATCAATAACAGCTTTAAGTTGTCAATGCTGGCAAATGACCATGGTATCAGCAGTGGGATAATCCACGGATATCTGTGCATTTAATGCACGACGTAAAGCGGAGTTTAGTTTACTTGTTTAATTAAAAGGTACCAGAATACATGAAATGGCATTTACTCCAGTAACATTTTTCTGGGGGAGGACCCACCCACTTTTTTTTTATCTTCCGACGGCCATGCCCTCATTTGTTCCAACTTCCTTCTCTGTGGGCCTCGAGTAAGTTCACGTAGTGTAACAGCGCAACGCTTCTGTGTTGTACGTGACACGCATCACACACATGACCAGCGTTGGCCAATAGTGAGCCTACGTGTGACGTACAAGCGCTGCGCAGTTACACTACGTGAACTATCTCAAGGCCCACAGAGAAGGAAATAAATATTTGAATAAAGTCGTTATTTTTGGTGTTTTTTTGCGCACAAAAAGTATTCTCGGCGCTTGATAAACTTAAGATTGAGCCACTGTAGTCACCTGGACTATTTTAATGATGTCTTTAATAACTTTTCTGTGTCAGCAAGTTTCAATTACAATAGAAGCCTATGGAGGAGTGATCCAGCTTTCAGATTTAATAAAAATATCTTAATTTGTGTTCCGAAGATGAACAAAGGTCTTACGGGGTTGGAACAACATGAGGGTGAGTAATTACTGACAGAATTTTCATTTGTGGGTGAACTATCCCTTTGAGGAGAAGAGATTGATGGTATATCAATTTACAAGTACCACAAAAAGATGTTAGACATAAAACTCTTCTATAGGTAGCAATGCCTAAGATGAATACATTAAGAAAATGCCTTTTCCTATAGACCTTTTTTCTACAAGAACACAAGCTTGTATGTGATGTTAGTCCACACTGAAACGAAACACACATGTATAAAAAAAACCCACTGTAACAAAGTTTTCAACATCCTCCAACAACAACAAACAACAGGAAAACAACATACAGTACATGAGCAGTCAAGCTGTCAACCTTTGGCCCAACACTTTCCATATGGAAGAGAATACGCATGGGAGCAAATCAAAAGATGAAGAACATTGAGCAGTTATGGTGTACTCAATTCTCAATGGAAACACGAGCGCAACACTACAGTTTCCCACAGTGAGTAATAATTGTGCTGCTGAAGTACGGATGGAGACGGAAGAAGCTTTTATTCTCAGGCGAGTATTACCTTGGGTCGGGCAGTGCACAGCGCCACAGGTGTTGCTTTAGTGTCTGCACCCAACCAATATCTCGGATGGGCTGAAAGAGCTGAATGTAGTGGTACTGTTTTAGCATAACCCTTCAAACGAACGACAAGATCACTCGTTAGCTGAACATTAAAGTAATTAAAGGGATGGTTCACCCCAAAATGAAAATTCTGTCGTTATAATTCTGCCATAACTATAATGATAAAGTTCTAAAAATCTTTCTAAATATTAAAGAATAGCAGAGACCACACCATAACTATAACAATAACGGCACAGAGAAACAATATCGTTGAAGTCACTTTTTTTCCCCAGCTGATGTACGATAAAACATAGACAGCCAATCAGAATACATCCTGGTTTCGAGCTCGAGCATTTAAAGCAAAAGACGACAAAGTGCGCGCTTAGAATGAACAGAGCGATATATTGTCCATAATAGTTATTGTTATAGTTGTCTTATCGGTCTTTGTGTGAACGGGCCTTTACTCGCCCTCATGTCGTTCCAAACCTGTATGACTTTCTTTTTTTCCATGCAACACAAAAGGAAATGCTGCAGCAGAATGCTCTTTTCCATTCAACTCACTATGTGTCAAACTTTTGTATTCAATGGAAGAAAGAAAGTCATACAGGCTTGGAACGACACAAGGATGAGTAAATGATAACTTAATTTTTGTTTTAGGGTGATCTATTCCTTTAACTCCCAAAGCACAAAATCATTATATAGAATCAACCAAATTTCAATCAATCAATAAATCACATCATTAAAGCCAATCATTATAGAATGACACATTGATCTTTCAAGGATCATTCTATTCAGGATGGGATAACAATAGTTTCTCATTTGTACGTACATCTATGATACTTGGTCCTGGAATAGGAGACTGCATCTTTTATTACTTTGCACATATGAGACACTGAAAGCTGCAATATATCAGATTTACTCAAGATGCAAACATATATTTCTCAACTTTCAGCTGGCAGCAATATGCACAACCATAAAGATGCCAGAACCTATTCCAGAGCCTGTCACACACAAAATATGAGAGTCGCAAAACCAAACGTAAACCATAAACATCGGAATAGTTCTCTTCCATGTGGATTCGACATCTATGACAGCGACAGAGAGACAGACAGAAGGACAGGGCAGAAACGATACAGATGCACCTACCATAGAGTCCCCAAACCCTCCCACATGAACCACCACAAAATGAACCACGACACCTCTGTTTCTGCGTTTGCATTTATTAATTTCAATAAATATGAGCAAGCAAGAGAGAAATCACAATGCACATCATCAAAGTTAAATCTGAGGCCCTTTCATATAACATTTTTTTTTCTCTCTCCTTTTTCAGTATGCATGGACTATATATAGCACCTGTGCTAAGCACACACACACATACACACGCACGCAAGCACACTGGACATGTACATTCCCGCTAGCTTGTCCTCTTCTGTCTCCCCAGGACACCTCCCCTTAATTCCCAGATTATATTAGCACAGTAATTGAGTCACCAAAGGCTGCAAAATACAAGAAAAGGCCCTCACCCTGTGGCGTAGTCATTCAGAGCACAGCACTGAAGAGAATGGGCTCCATGCTGTTCTAGAGCCAGACTGAAGAAATTAATACTCACAAATTCTGAAACTTTGTGTTAATTTCCACAAGGGACTCTGGATTTGAAGCCTGTATATAATATATTTATATATGGTATTCATAATGCCTTACAATATGTAATGGTTTATATATTTTCATAAACGGTAAACACAGTTATAATAAATTTCAACTGCTTTTAAATGGCATTTTACATGGCATGTGGCAACTGTTAGTTCACAGCTCATTATCAACGGGAGAGACGTTACAGATGCACTTTTCAAGCTCATTTAATAAAGTCGGCATGAAACAAAATTTGCTATAGTCTTTTCTTCCCTATTGTGATGTATATATCCAAGTAAAACGGCATCTCGAACAAGAACAAATGTAGGGCGGGACTTGATTTTGTCCATCAGGAATTGATTGGATAGTTGTTTGCTATTGCCGTGATCACATGCGAGTGACAGGTTGTCCTGCCTTCGTGCCAGTAAACACGTCATCAGAGAAGAGAAGAGATGAGATGACGCTGCAGAAGGGAGGGGAAGTTTTGATTAAAGATTATAAGGTCACATGAATTAAAAAATGTATTATAATAAATACTGCAATATTCCATAATTTTTTTTAGATTTGTCCCTTTTGGTTTCATGGTGACTTTAAGAAGAAACCAACCACTTTGTTGTGCACGACAGCGGTTCCTGGCTGAATTTGGAGTAGCACACTACTCTTATTATTCCTGTCAAGATAATTACTCTTAGAAAAATAGTATTAGTGGACTATTCTGAGTTCAGCCTCTATCTTTTGTGGTTGCCCCCGTCATTGACCAATCTAAGATGACTGTATTTGCAAGTCAAACAGCATTTTTAAAAGGCGTTTTGCATTATTCACATTCCACAAATGGAAACATGTGCAATTTATGGAGGAATAAATGCAATTACCCCTAAACTTAATAAATGCATGTCAATTTATTTCATACATTTATTTAGATGTTTATTTATACCTTTTAAACGCTTTTTTTTTATACAGGCTTCAAGTAGAATTCTTCAATCTGGCAATAGATCACTGACTTACTGTGCACTGGTAGGGCAAACAGGACAATGAGATCACATATTTGACATACTGACAATGGAGAAGACCTCAAAGGATGAAACCAGAGACAGAGAGAGGATTTGCAGAGGGGAGGTCCATGGTAAAAAACAAAAAAAAAAAAACAAAAAAAAAAACATGATCTTACACAATGCACTTCCATAATGCCAGGAAATTACGACATTAGGTTGCCAAAATGAATGTCATTCAGTCCCATGATCTACCAACATCTTTAGTTCTTCCATCACAAACAGACATGAATCTGCGTCAGTCATGTCACATGCAAGGAAAATGAAAGCCATGATTATGTGCTGTTACATCAGGCCTGATCAGATTATATATAAAAAGGTTTCACTGGCAACACAAAATCATCTCTGTGAATGGATCAGCATTGAAATTTAAAGGGATAGTTCACTAAAAAATGAATATTCTGTCATCATTTACTCAGCCTCATGTCCATGTTCCAATCTCATATACCGTTCTTTCTTCTGTGATGTAAATGTTTTTGTTCAGGTGAGTAAATGATAACAGAATATTTTTCCTTTAAGTCTGCATAAAATGTCCTCTTGTACATGTGCGTCATGGGAAAGGCCTTTTTGGGGCCTTACGTTTGAATATAACAAACAAACATAAAGAAATATGACAATGATCATGCAGCTGAGAGTAAACGAACAGCATTCCAGACAGACTGCATTCGACTTACCAATACATCAGGGGACACGTGATAATAAACAGAACAATTAGTCGAGAATACAGGTCATGTCAGTCATTGAACAACAGGGGGGATGCAGGAGCAAACAAAGCAGGAGACACTCTGGGAAAAGTCATTAATCATTAATACGCTGAATCTGCATTCACATAAAAAGGGGCTTTGATTTTGAAGCTGGCTAATCTATTGACCTTTTGAGTTCCCTCTACTTTTGGGATCCCCCATCTGTCTACCTCGGGGGCTCCCTTAGGGGGGATGGGAAGTGTTTGTGCATGTGAAACAGCTGAGCAGAGCGGAGGATAGTGTTAAGGGTTGTGTTTTGGTCCTTACATATTTCATGGAATAGAAGCCCACTAACACCTCAAAACCAAACAATACAAAAACATGTTTTAGTTTATCTTAGATTTTCTACAGGTTTGTTTTGCACATAAAAATCACAGTGAACATCCTATTCTATCCAAAGACAAATTGACATCCCATACATCCCATAATGCAATATTATGTTACAGTAATCCAGTTGGCTGTCCAGGCAACCAAGTGGGCCGAAACAAGGCCTAATTTTTATATGATATTGACAGATGGCTTTTTGGAGATACGGATGTTCCCATAAAGCTATTTGGAGATATTCTGATCCTGTAATGATTCAACAACATTTTCATGATGGAAAAAATTAGCAAGAAAACAAATAAAATAATTAAAATAATCACAGCACCAAAGTTATCTGAGATCATAACATATCACTTGGGAGCCTGGGGTGTTTAATCAATAAAATGATTACATAAAACAGGCAAAGCAAGCAGGTAATAGATCGATATAATTGTAAAACCATAGATGCACATTTATCAAAGATTTTGGACTAAGAAATTGGCCTTTGTGGCTTTTACATGTTGGCTAATTTACATAAACATGATTTAAAAATGGCTTATCATACACAAATCAGCTTGATTGTAAAACCCTTGATAAATGAAAACCACCAGTCGGAGCATCTGATGGGAAGTAAAACATACAGAGCTTCTAGCCAATGGCTCCATGCAAGATAAGAGCATCCACTAGCCAACCAGTAGAGTGGTTGCCATGGAAACCTTGTTGTGGAGATGAGGAGAGTGGGTGGAGCTATAGTAAATGCAAACGCTTTGATATTACTGGCGAGATTGTGAGGCAAAACTGGAGAAAAACCCTGAAAATGTTCTAAAAACAGCCCACTGACCTCTCAAAGAGAAAGAGAAAGAGAGAGAGAGAGAGAGAGAGAGAGAGAGAGAGAGAGAGAGAGAGAGAGAGAGAGAGAGAGAGAGGCGGCGTGTATTGGAAATATACAGTGAGGTATAAAACGAGAGGTAGCAGTTCCGCATCACAATCCGTACAGCGGCGCTTCCGTAACATGAATCCGTACAGTGACCCTTTGAATCAAATGTACAATGAATCACTTCCAGGTCAAATAAAGTTATATATACCTTTGGAAACTGTGTTTTGTCATCTTTGATCTTCTTCACGCATTGTCGAAGTCCACGCCCTTTGAAGACGACATTTCAGCGGAAAGTACAATGACACCCGAGTGATATTTAAAAATGGAGGTGGGCAGGGATCTCGCGTAGACTCCGGTGAAGGAGGAAAAAGAGCCAGCAAATGAAATGAATGAAGTTTTGGTCTCGTGTTCTATAGTATTGAAGTTACAGTTTTTCTCAATTGCTAAAACACTAAAACCCATTGGCTGAACAAAGTTCTCAGTTGCCTGAACTCATTTAGCTAATTGTGCAGTCTGTTGTCAATACCTTAAACTATTTCACATGGCAAAACACAATTTGCAGATCTTAGACTTTTCAGCAAAACGCTAAACACATTCTCATTCTGAAAACATATTCTGCACTGTAATGCACACGTCATCCATACTGGTAAACACAAGTGGCAATGATCAAATACAAATAGAGAACAAATGTCATTGATTGAACACAACCACTCAAAATTGATTTAACCTGTTTCAAATGATGCGCAAAGACAAGAAGAAGCACACTGATCACGTTTACTCCTTTGATTTTTGTCCCTTTTAGTATTGTATACTGTAGTACAGTGCATTGTAGGCTGTATACTGTACAATGAACAAATTATATGGCCCCGAACATCGTTACTGTAACAGTACCATTTGTTACAGTACTGAATGCTCAATAGATTTTACTGGTTGCACTTGCAGGTTCATATCAACAAAGAACAAGAATTACAGTATCAAACAATAGAACTGACAAATGAGACGTTTGTGAGATGCAGGGCACTGTACTGTAAAAATAGGGGTACAAGGAGGAAGAACAAATAAAATTGCAAAGAGCAAAGCAGAGTAGTAATTTCTGATCAATTTTGCGCTACTATGATGTTTTCATTCATCAAAAGACAATGACGGACAAATATGAAATTTGTTTTAAGATTAAAAATGTACTTCTCCCTGAAATTTTGATGGTACAGTAATGTGTCACGGGTAAGTCTACAAACAGAATAGCCGTCCATAGATATCTTTCGAGAACTGTATGTTTTGAACAATGTGTTTTCTATTTTTTGGTGTATTGTTTACTGACTGCTTGATAGTGTATATCATTTTGATCACTTTGTCTATGATTTGAGAGCAGTGTTTGATTTTGAACACAAGTAAAACTGTTTTGAGGCGAAAGTTTCATTTTGCAAGAAGAGTCAGAGGTTTTGTAAATAGTGCTTGAAGATGAGGTTTTGTGTTTAATGTTTTCAGAAAAAGGAGCAAGGATTCAGAAATTGTGTTTTAGCAATTGAGAAAAACTGTAAACGTAATGGTTATTGGTGTTGAACATTTTTAACCTAAAATGTGTGTTATAAGGTTAATAAAACCCCATTTTAAACGGCGGTTTAAAAACTATGTTCACGAGGTCTTGGAAACGACCTGCGGTGACTGAACGCGCCATTTTTCGTAATGAACAATATTTTGCAGATCAGCGATGTAAGGACTTTAAAGTCAACCAAAGAGTCAAATGTGAAGTAAATTGTGTCATAATGAAATCTAACTACTATAAGACACCCTGCACGATGAGGCAATCATGATGCCCCGTTGTACGGTTTCATGTTACGCTCCCAGCAATGACTGTACGGAATCTTGTGACGCGTAACATAGTTCCCCACCCAGCACAGCCTCAAGCAAATCACCATTTATGAGCATTTCATAGGCCAAAAAGAAACCAATCAAAGCTAAGAAACGAAGATAAGACCCTCCCCCAGTAAATGACACATCAAAAGTTCATTGGTCTAATCCGGTAAGGATCGCACTGACGTTTTACGTGCCCGGAAGCGAGTTTTTGTGTACGGATTGTGATGCGGAACTGCTAGGCCTAAATCAGATAGATAAAGAGAGAGAGAGAGAGAGGGAGGGGGAAGCAATGGACAGAATAGTAAAGGAATGAGAACCTCTTGTTAAATAATTTTGCAGCCTTCGTTCTGCTTTCACCCTTTCAGGAAGAGATTAAATGAGAGAAGAAGTGCAATGGTTTTTACTCTTTCGCCTCAGCCAGTTTGTTGTTGATCTCTTTACTTTTCTCCTTGTCGCCCTGCGCCGCTCTGCTCCCCGGCTGGTTCTCGGAGCTCTTCTTCTTCGAACCGCGCACCGACGTCGCCTGCTTCTCCTTGGACTTCTTCAGAGGTTTGCCAGGTGTGGCAGATGTGGAGGTGCTCTTTTTCGGTTTGGAGCGAGTGGTTTTCTCTACCTGTACAAGACATGAAATAGCACACAAACGGTATTTTAATAATAATATATTTTATTTATAATGCACTTTTCATTTGCGAACAAAGTGCTACAGCAAACATATTTCAAAAGTAAAAACAGGAGCAAGAAGAAGAAAACGTAAAAACAGTTAAATTCTGCATTAGTTGTAGCTATTTTTAAATAGAAAAGTCTTTAAGCCTTTTTTAAAGTGGTCAACTGACTGTGGAACCCTCAGGTGGTCTGGCAATGAGTTCCACAGTCGCGGGGCAACAGAGGAGAAAGCACGGTCTCCCATGGTCCGGAGCTTGGTTCTGAGTGGACGGAGAAGATTGCCATTTTGTGAGCGGAGGTTTCTGGTTGATGTTTGCTGGGTGAGAAGTTCCTTGAGGTAGGGTGGTGCATTGCCATGGATGCAATGGTGGGTGAGGAGAGTGATTTTGTAGTGAATCCTGGCGGAGATGGGAAGCCAGTGAAGTGCTTGAAGGATGAGTGTTATGTGTTCATTTTTACACACTCTCATCAGGATCCTAGCAGCACTGTTCTGTATGTGTCGGAGTTTCTGCAGACTCTTGCTAGAGATCCCATAGAGAAGTGCATTACAATAGTCCAGCCTGGAGGAGACAAAGGCATGGACAAGTTTTGTGGCGTTGGAAAGGGTGAGTGTGGGACGGAGTTTGGCAATATTCCTGAGGTGGAAAAAGGATGATTTGCACAGATGTTTGATATGGTTGTCAAATGTAAGATGCGGGTCAAGTCTTACACTGAGGTTGGTTACTGTTGATGAGAGAGGGAAGTCTTTTCCAGAAAAGGTGATAGAGGTAATCAGGGACAACTGGACCTGATAAGGGAGTGCCGACAAAAATTGCCTCAGTTTTGGAAAAGTTTAACTGAAGGAAGTTCTGACTCATCCAGGCCTTAATCTCCTCCAGGCAGGAGGTCAGTAGGAGTGGTGTGGATGAAGATGAAGGCAGAGCAGTGAGGGGGTGGGAGGTTGAGTTTGTTTTGAGGTAAAGTTGTGTCATCAGCGTAGCAATGGAAGGAGATACCATGCTGGCTAATGATGCGGCCAAGGGGGAGCATGTAAAGAATGAAAAGAGTTGGACCAAGTACCGACCCTTGAGGAACACCACATGTGACAGCATGTGGGTGAGATTTAGCTCCACCCAAACTGACATACTCGGTCCTTCCAGAGAGGTAGGATGTGAACCAGTCCAAGGCAGAATTTGATAGTCCTATATCACTGTGGAGGCGGTTGAGAAGGATGTTGTGGTCGATAGTGTCAAAAGCTGCAGTGAGGTCAAGAAGGATGAGAAGTGAAGGAGAGCCAGCATCGGCTGCCATCAGAAGTTCATTCCAACCTTCTGCTTATCGGTATTTTACTACCGATAAGCAGCGTATTCCATTATCTAATGGGAAAAGTAGGATAGGACTTGGAATGAATGGAAAAGTTAGACTACGTTATTACTGGCTAACATTAATTGTTCCACCCAGTCAGCAGCAAAGATATTTTAGAGGCAGAGAAACTTAATACGCTTGAACTTTGAATTTACGTCAATTTTTTTCTTCTGAATTGTAACGCACATCTGAGTGAAACGGATTATTGAAAAAGAAAAAGAAAATTGTAGGGCAGGCACTTGGTTTTATCCATTGATTTTTGATTGGATGGAGGCAGATCTGAATGCTCAATAAATAAAGGTCAATAAAAAGAAAGGGGTGGGTTTAAGTAGACTAATTGATTGAAGAAGTTCATCATATGTTAGCAGAGAGAAGTCTTCATTTTCAAGATCGAGTTATGACATTCTAGGAGTTATGAGGTCACAATTGTTTTTAAATGAAACATATGCATGGATGAATTCTTCACAAAAAAGATCAATAACATGCATTTAGAAAATAGACATGGTGAATTTTCATTTCATGCTGACTTTAAAAAGTTTTGCTCACACAAAAGCCACACAGTATACGGATCTCAAAACACACACTGTTAACAAATATATTAATTAGCCAGAAGTCCAGAACTGACTCTGATGCTAATGTAAAGCAAGTCAGAACAATTCAACATAATGAAACAAAGAGCTGATGCTGATTTGATGCTAAGAAAAGACACTCAACCCCTGAAGCCAAAGTTACGTCAAACTACTTTGAAAAAGTACTGCTGAGAAAAAAAAACAGTTGTTCAGTTATTTTCCAGTCACTGAGCACATAAATTGCTGACATCATAAAGTTACTAAACACAATAATTGATTTCCAACCTTATGCAACAAGCACAAGAGCGTAACCCATAGTGCTAAACCTCTAATCCGAGAACTGTGTAGTTTTTCTTAACTTCTACACATAGGCTCTTACCTTGCTGCTCTCTCTGTAAGGTTCATGGTACAGTGTGCGAATCCTCCTCCTATCCAGACCCTTGTTGTCATCTGGCTGCTGACTGCCCTGGCAGCCCCTGTAGGTGGCGCTGTAGCTGGTCTCCAGATTAGCCCTCTCATCGGGAGGCTTATACTGAGACTGGGCCCTGAAGACCTTCACAGATTTCACATCTGCGTAGGCTTTGAACTCGTTCCTGACATTAGGAAACAGATAGCATCACAATTATTGTAAAATCAAGTGTAGTGGGGGATTCATCCCACACATATTGAATTTTAAGACCACATTGTGAATACAAAAAGGTATAAAACTGAAAGTGCACAGTTAAAACTGAGACGTGTAGTTATACTGTAGGCAAAAAAAAATGGCTAGGGTTTTACAGCCGTGAACTATGATTTTCAACTTGCTATAGTCTGCAGCAGTTGGGGGAGGGACGTTCTCATTCTAGAGAGCATTTAATCGGATAAACAAGTCCAAGATGAGTCATCAATATTTTAGATCCATTTTTTCCTGTAAAGAAATGCATATTTTAAATTCATATATCTGCTAAAAGTCACATAGTCAATGTTTAAAAGTATAGCATATACTATATCTAATATACAAATACTAGTAACAAAACTTCAATTTTAATAGGGTCAACAATTGCTATTCTTCAACCACATTTATTGCCTATTAAGTTTTGACAGATCACACAAATCAAGAGAGCAATCTTTCAGATTACAATAAGGTGCTACACTATAAGACACAACAATGAGTGTATATAGAATTATTATTTGATATGGCTATATATAGACACTGCAGTATAGATCTAGATATTATGCACCCTCCATAATGCAGAGATTTCTCTCCATCTGGATCTCGACTCAACAGAAGAGAGTTTTTCCTGAGGCAGTGGCCACTTCTTTTGGATGAGTAATGAGTCTTTATTCACTGAGATGACACAGACAAATGGTATATACTTCACGGCTGTGTGCATTGCAGATTACCCAACAACATCCAACTTATCCGCAGTACATCTAACACACATGCACACATACAGACAGAAATCACTGAGAACAGCACAAAACAAGTCTTATACAAACTCTGTTCACCTAAAGAAGTATTCAAAAATCATTTAAAAACAACAGACTAATGAATCAATTCAAAACGGTTTGTGAACTGGTTTTAATGATTCAGTCAAAAAATTCACTGTCAAATCAGAATCACTCTCTTGCGAGATGGAACATTGGATATCCACTATTACATGATTTTTAAATATTTATATTACATTTTCATGACTTTTCTAGGCCTGGAAAACATAATATCAAAATTCCCCAATTTTTAATAATGGGAACTCTCTCTTTCTTTTTGGTTCTGTAACATTACAACCTCAGACTGGGCAGACTATATTGATTAGGATTGATACAGGAAAGCGACGGCAATGTCAGGCAGGGTGAACCATTATCATACTATTACATCAATTAGTTGCTTAGCTTCCATGAATAAGAATCAAATCAATACCTCTTTGTATGAAACAGAATCAACCATTCTGACATATTAAGATTAGGTTTAAAAAAAGAACTGAGAACATTTGATATCACACACTGTTCTACTGGAGATGAGATTAGATAAGATTACTGGATCTGAAACTCCTTTACAGTTAGAAATAGGAAAGATTCTAAACAGAAAAGGCCTGTTAGTATGTGATCGCCAAGCTGATGAACAAAGTCATGGGACAGCATGTGGGAGAACATTAACCCCCACAGAGAAAATAGGGGATGTGAAAACCACACGTCCCATGCCATGCATTATAGAGGAATATTACAGGTTAAAAACAAGTGACTCTTTATCAACAGCAAAAATAGCAGAAAAAACAGCAGAAAATAATTTTGACTCCCAGTTTCTATAACGTTAAAAAAAAACTTTTATGGGTGTTTTTCAATTTTGAGCTTGTAAATGATCCGGAGGTTGATGAACATATATGAATGTCAAATAAAACATTCTTGGAAACTATTTACTTTTCAAATGCTTTTTGTGTATGTTGTTCCAGACCCAAACTTTCAATTTTAAACAATGAAAAATCATTATAAAAATATAATTATTTAATCAAACTTTTTTTACATTTCTACCACACAATGCTATTAATGGTGTTATTTTTAGTATTATGTATATACTATTATAGTATTTAATGAATGTACTTGTTAATTTCAATTGACAAATCAATAAACAACACTTGCTAATATTAAAAATACATAATTTGAGATTATGTTGGAAATTACATTGTTGTTTTGATCTATTAGATGCATGCATTTTGAGTTTGACTATAATATTGTGGCTAGTGTTTTGATTTAATGTGAGGCCTCCCTTCTCTCCCTGTTGAGAGCACAGGGGAGCGAAAAAAGAAAGAACTGAAAGTTGTTACATAAGACAAATGAAGTCCAGTCAGAGTGCTTGAAATGACAGTACAAAGGCAGCTTATAGAAGTCAAGGCCACAGGCAGCAAACACTCACAGGACAAACATGAAAGAAGAAGGGGGAGGAGTCAGAGTTTATACAGCACAAGATAAAGCAACACACACACACACACACACACACACACACACACACACACACACACACACACACACACACACACACACACACACACACACACACACACACACACACACACATAGACAGAGAATGAGAAAGACATAAAGACAGACAGAGAAGGATTTACACACATACAATTGCTAACAATGAGCTTAGTGTGCTTATTGTAAATCAGTGCTTGGTACCAGCTGTCAAATCATTCATTTGATAAAGGACATCAACACTGTTTAACAATGTTGTTTTATACCAACTTATTTTCTTACTAATCTAACAGATTTAATGGAAAATCACAATATGTATTCAAATCAGCTCACACATTTAATTAACTGTTGTCATCAAAAGTCATCTGTATATTTGAGCATACAGTGAGGTTGATACCTCTTCTTCTCCCCAGGCATTGAGCTTTTGTGAACAGCCGTCACTATGGTGATATGCTGGCACTAGAGAATTGTGTGGTGGGGTGCCAGAGCAGTGCATCATGGGTAGGCTTGGCACACTGAAGTAACGTGGTGTTTAACAGAAGCATGTAAAGCTGTTTTGCTTTTTACTTGGATCCAAAAACAACATCCTGATTATTTTTATGTAGTCTAGACCTGTCAGATGACAACACACAGCACCTGACGCTACCAATAATAAACAGTGTATTTGAATGAATCATAAGTGATTCCTTCTATTAATCCACCAGGATTGAAAACAATTATTTGATTAGAAAAGTCACTTCTTATTCTAGTAACGGACTTGCTCTCAAATGGGTCCAGATCAATAGGTTTCCTCCAGCATGTGCATCGTGTTTCAGTTTCTGCTGTACCTACAGTATGACATATTCCTTCTGACATTGACTTTGGACTCCAAGTGAATCCCAATGAGATCAGCCATGGTGTAATACTGCCTTGTAAGGCAAAACTCTCTCTTATTTCTCTCTCTCGCTCTGCTGCTTCTTCTGTTATTGATTCCAGTGTTTGAATGGTTACAGTGCCTTCAGTTACTGCACAAGTAAAGAGAGGGAAGGCATAAAAAGTATGGTCATTTACTGCATTATTATGTACAATGTTCCGATTTTGTCATTTTTTATTATTTCTATTTAGCTTTAGATTAAATTTCAACTTATTTTATTTCAGTTAGTTGCCAAGGCAGTTGCCAAGGTTATTTTTTAGAAAATTTTATCTAATAGTAATAAAAGTTTTTTCATCTAATATTTATATTTTATTCTATTTCAGTTTTATTTAAATTGATACAAATATTTTTTAATAGTTTCAGGGTACGTTTACATGACAATGATGCACTAAAAACGGAAATGTTTTTCCTTTGTGATTTTGAAAAGTTTTGTACACACAGACAACAACGAATGTACACACAGATCTGCTAAAGTGGGCGATATACCGGTAGACACGAAACGAGAGAAAATCTCTCTTGACTGAATCACTTTTATAACTTTAGACTATGTATTCATTTTTTTAAATACATTTGATTACTTTATACATTTTATGTAGCCTAGTGCTTGACGTTATTCAGTCTATTTAATTTGTTTATTTGTTCTATTGTAGTTTGTTTTCTTTGCTCTTTCGTTATCACTGTTTAGTATTGTCAAAAGTACGGATTTCGATACCAAGTCGGTACTGAAATTTAGAAAATGTGACGATACCAGCATTTCCCTCTAGGATTTTGAGCGCTGTAGAACAGATTCTTAAACACCTCTGATATATATGCTCACGCTCAACATATATTTTGAAAGCAGGCGTCTATCAGCGGATCTGTCTATCAGTGGATATATTATATAATGGATCCGGTGAGGAGCGTCAAAGACGCTTTTTTAAAAAAAGCGTTGATCATTGTCGCAAGCGGTGAACACAATGGCCAATCAGAGACATATATGTTGAGCGCGTGAACACAGTGGCCAATCAGAGGTGTTTAAGAATCCGTTTAACAGCGCTCAAAATGCTAGAGGGAAATACTGGTATCGTCACATTTTTTAAATTCCAGTAACGACTTGGTACCGAAGACGGTACTTTTGACAACAACTACTGTTTACTTGTCTTCAGTAAGCTTGAGAGTTTTTTAGGCAAGTTTTTTAAATGATATTGAAAATGGTGATAAGAATTCTGAAATTTAAATGGTACCAAAAAAAATTATATTATAAAAACATTTTTGAAAGCAAAAATAACTACATTGTGATATATATCATTATTGTAAAATAAAATGACTCATATCGTGATTTTTGCCCACCCCTATCCCAAAACAACTAAAATGCTGTATTATGCATGCCAGTCCAGTAGTTGGCAATGTCACTTTGTAAAGAAACACTACGCACCAATAGACTGAACAATCATATAATATGCTTGTGCATATCACGTAATATGCATGCGCATGACGTCACTGTTTTCCCAAATTCACATTTTTGTAGTTTACATGGAGATGATAGCTTGCACTTTAAAAACCTGTTTTCAAAAGTTTCCAGGCCCCCAAAATGCTGTTGTCGTGTAAATTAACAGCCATAAAGAATAAAAAGTTTTCCATTTTTAGTTGAAAACGGTGTTTAGTTATCAATAACAACATTGAATCAGAGATATGGTGTGCTATTTTAAAGTCAACAATAAAACAATAAGAAACAAATAAACAACCCTAAATAAAAAATAACAGCTAAACACTTGCACTGCATTTCCAAGATTTTGTGCACGTATAATATATCGTACAGACATAAATTGCAGACCAAAGCATATTGATCTGCAGGGGGAGAGAGAGAGGGACACTAGAGAGATAAATGAAAAGATTGATGAAAAGATAAATGAAGGAAGCAACTTTCTCTCCACCACATCCTGTCAAGGCACACCTGTGTTTTCTCTGGCTCAAAATAAAACACTTCTTACAGTAAGTGAGGATAATTTTTTGATATTCAGTTTCATCAGCTTGTGTCAAATCTTAAGCCATGTCACTGCTTTGTAGCATGACAAGGCAAAACAAATCTAAACTCAAGACTAAACATAAGATTAAGTCAAATTAATCCTGAGCTTTTCAGTTTAAAGGAACACTCCGACTTTTTGGGACTTTAGCCTATTCACCTTATCCCCCAGAGTTAGATAAGTCCATACATACCTTTTTCATCTCCGTGCGTGCTATAAGTCTGTTTGACGCACCCACCGCTAGCCTAGCTTAGCACAAAGACTGGATGTAAATGGTTGCAGCTAGCATACTAATCCAAATAAGTGACAAAATAACGCAAACATTTTCCTATTTACATGTTGTGATTTGTATAGTCACAGAGTGTACAAAAAACAAAGTCACATGAGACAGAGACATATTTTAACCGTATAAATACTGGGAACTATATTCTCTGAAGGCGAAGCACTGCTACTTGGGCGGAGTGATAACCGCAGCACCTGAGACGCGCCGTGGTGAGGAGCAGAGAGCGAGTCTCAGGTGCTGCGGTTATCACTCCGCCCAAGTAGCAGTGCTTCGCCTTCAGAGAATATAGTTCCCAGTATATATACGGTTAAAATATGTCTGTCTCATGTGACTTTGTTTTTTGTACACTCTGTGACTATACAAATCACAACATGTAAATAGGAAAATGTTTGCGTTATTTTGTCACTTATTTGGATTAGTATGCTAGCTGCAACCATTTACATCCAGTCTTTGTGCTAAGCTAGGCTAGCGGTGGGTGCGTCAAACAGACTTATAGCACGCACGGAGATGAAAAAGGTATGTATGGACTTATCTAACTCTGGGGGATAAGGTGAATAGGCTAAAGTCCCAAAAAGTCGGAGTGTTCCTTTAAGGAATCACTATAACAACTCATCCATGTCACACAAACTGAACTGATGACTCAGTGTTTTTTTCCTCTTGTGTATTTTCTGCCCTGATGCAGTTCTTCTCACCCAACAAATAACCAGCCTAATATATGCAACTCTAAAGGCTACATCCTAATGCAATGCATTTTAATGCAGAGTAAATTCAATACCATAAACATTGTTTCCATTTACATTTAGTCATTAAACAAATTTATCCAAAGCAACCTAGGAACATCACAAGCAATTTACCATAATTGTACAGTATAAAAAAGCTCAATCTTGTTTAGATGCACAAATTAGTGATTTGCAAGCACACATGAATGAGTGAGAGAATAATGGACAAATTGCCACCTGTCAATTAAACACAACTACTCAACAATGACAATGACAGACTTTTGAATTGAGATCCAGAACCCAAATCTGAGAACTTTCTTTCTTTACACATTTATTGTTCACTGTTTGTAATACAAAAGTGATTGAAAGGAAACAGAATACCACGCAGGACCAGGAACAGCACAGCACTATACAAACGTCAGCTCCATCTGTTTTAGGCTAAGATTGGCAAATAAAAGCAAATGAAAAAGCACTGTTTTATATGCTAGCTAGCTGGAAAACAAAAGCTTATTGTAGGGGTTTGCAAAGTGTGGTCTCTGAATTCCACAAACAAGACAATTTTACACGACCACTTTCATAACAAATTGATTATTAACAACTGGAAATTCCACAATTCACTTACTGCCCTCACTTAGCCCTAAAGCTAACCCTGAAGAAAATGAAAGTCATTCCAAAAAACAGCATCTGTTCCTGCGCTCTTCTGCCCCCTGCATGTCCTGCCATCTGTAGGTGTTGTTAGTACAGCAGTATCAGATTCAACCCACAGCTGACCTCCATTGAATTACCTTTTTTACTCCACAACACTTTTTTATTGATTTCTATTGCTTTAGTTTTATACTGAGCTAATGATATTTTATAACCCCTAAACTTAATGGTAATTGTTTCATTTTTCCCTACTTTTCAATAAGACATCATTTAGTATTATTTAGCTAGCCTAGCACAATGTATCATGATATTTAGTATCATTGTGAGGACATTTGGTCCTTTCTATACACATATATTAATGCATAGATTCAATACCAGGTATAACACTAGTACATGTGCCAATTGTTGGTATGCTGTTTCTCCCTTTTGCTGGAAGTTTCCTCCCAAAATCTGCCTCTGAAAGCCTGCAGTTCTCAACATTGCACATCAATGTGACAGATTGGTATTTCTGCAGTAAGTTGCTAGTTTTTAAAACATTTTAAAACATTTCTTTTTTTTATTGACAAATAGCAATTTTTACCTGATAAAATATTTTGGAGCTTGGCATAATTAGAAAATTACATTCATTATAAAAAGGTCCATGCCTTTTTAAGATTTTATTAATTTACATGACCATTCCAGGTTTAGGGATCACTTTTTTTTTATTTTTATTAGGCTACATCATATCCAGGTTTTCAAAGAGTTGGGAATAAGTTGTTTTAGCTTATTTTAATACTTGTTTGGTCTTATTTTAAATAATTTTATGTCATTCTAAGGGGGGCCTCTTTGGAAGTTTGCCGAGGGCCCCTAGTGGGTGCCAGACCCCTCGTTGAAAACCACTGCTGTACAATAATAATCAGCCATACCTGTAGGAGCTGCCAGAGGTGACTTCTTGTTTGATCTGCCGGTTGAGGGCATCCACATCTGCCCTCCCTTTTCCCTCTGTAGTGGTAGCATCCCCCATGCCTTGCCCTTCCAACTTCATGTCAGCTTTGATTTCAGAAACCATGGTCACTTTCTTGGCTTGCTTCTTTTTCCTTCCACTAGACAGTATCTCCTTCTCTTGCACCTTGTCTGCAATCTGACTCTTTTCCACCCCACTGTCGATCATATCTGTCTTGGTGTGCTTGGATCTGTCAGGGATGCGGTCAGGGCCCACTGAGATGGTCGGAGAGGGTTTGGGGATCCAAGGATGATCTCCCTTCTTTGGGATAGGCCAGGGTTTGTAGTCCTTCTGATACTGGGTCTCGTTGTTAAAAGGGACCTCAGGGCCATGATAGTCGTTCTTGGGCTTGCAGCTGGGCTCCGGACGAACTTTCCAGTGTTTAAAGTCCTGGCGCATCACAGATCCGCTGATGTTCTCTTCATGGGCTGGAGGTCCTTTGGTCACCGCGTCGTGGTCGTTGTGAAGCGGTTGCGTTTCTATGGCGACCTTCTGCTGCAGGTGAAGATGCTGCATTTCGGACACGTCCGAGTACTTGGTGAAAACCAACGGCACCGCAATGTCGGCCTTGTCCAGTTGGTTCCAGAACCGAGCCATACAGCAGGCTCTGGAGATACAGGGCCATGCCATGATGGTTTGCCAACGTCTTACCTTCTGTTATACCAATCTCTTCCTTTCCCCGAAGCTGTTTTGTATTCAGTTTGTGGAATTAAACGCGCTCGCGAGCCTCTCAGGAAATACTCAAAATGTCCGATTCGCAATGTTTTCCCCCCCTTAAAACGATGTTGTCAAAGATGACAGGACACAAATCCACTTTAAAAGATGCATTACGGGTTCTTGAGGGGTTTAATTTGTGGAATATTCTGGTTTAGCTCCGTCCTGATCCCCTAGCGCTCTTTACAATACGAGAATTTGTGAAGACACAGCAGCCCCTCCCGCGCGCGCGCCCTGCTCCGCTCAGCATCAATCGAGAGGAGCTGAATCACCTGCCACTCTCATCATCACGCAACGTCTGCAATGCGCTCAAAGCCCCGCCCACTAAACTAGAGTCCTGAAGACATCGCTGTTGGAAATGATGGGAGAGATGCTCAACAATAGTTTAAACATGGTTTACTCATTTATAATGATGCAGATAATCATTATAATGATATTCTGCAGATACACAATTAACCGTTTTAAAATGTTTTTGAAAGAAGTCTTTTATGCTCACCAAGGCTGCATTTATTTGAGCAAATATAGCCTAACAATAAAAACAGTAACATTGTAAATATTATTACAGTTTAAAATAACTGTTTTCTCTTTTAGTTTATTCCTGTGATGGCAAATTTCAGCATCACACTCTCGTCTTCAGTGTCACATGATCCTTCAGAAATCATTCTAATTGCTCAACATTTCTTATTATTATCAATGTTGAATGATTTCAAAAAATGTGTTTTTTTTTAACATTTATTTGAAATAGAAATCTTTTGTGGCATTACATGTCTTTTCTATCATTGTAATGCATCTTTGCTTGAATATTGCTTGACTCATGCTTAACAATAGGTGAGTAATCAATAGGTGAGTAAAGGTTTTAGCATTCCATATTTATAGCATTCCATATCCAAGTATTTGAATGCAGATTATTTGAATGAAGATTATTACTTAATATAAAACTACATCATGAGCATATCAGGACTCAGTGACTCACTCAAAAGCTCCTTTTTGCATTAATCCCTTCTTTTCATGCACAAGTTGTAAGGCATAATTTTGCACAGCTCTTTGCCTCTGGGGTCAAAAGTCTTATTGGTGTAATATCAAGGTATTCTTGGGTGATAATCCTATCACTTGCCATGAATGATCAGATAAGGTGGTAGATGGAAGGAGGAGGGGTGCAGACCAAGACATGGTGTCAGACTTTGACCCCAGAGTGGAAATCCTAGCGCTGTGCTGATCTCTCGGCCTCTCGTCGGCTCTTGTCGTCTCTAGTTTAGACATGAAGATTCATTTTGCTCCGGCTGATGTGCCTTTGGTTAGGAGGATCCAGACTGCTGTCGTATTGCAGTGGGTCTTCTCTTTCCTGGCCCTCGGTAAGTGCACATGCTTTCACTACTTTTATTTTTAAGTGTCTTTGCAAAGCCATCAAGCATTGGCAATGAATGAGATCTAATCACAGTCTGTGTTCTGTAATCGGACATATAGGTCAATTATTTTACTAAAGTAAATTTTATACTTAAGTTATCAATAATTATGAGATATTTGTGATTTGTACAATGTCTCTCATGCCTTAAAAGGAATAAAAGCTGATAGCAGGTACATAACCTCTTACAAAAGACTCTTTCTTGAAAACACATCACTAAAAGCAAGGGAAATGTGTTTTAGCAAATGTGTTTTGTTTGTGGGTGCTGTATGTGATTTTGCAGGCCTTGATCAACATAGTTCAAAACCTCCAGGTCAAAGTCTTCAGATGGAAAGATCCCGATTGTAAATGTATTTGTGCATCCTGTGTGTTTATTTTATGTGTCATTTTTGCAGCCCCCTGCTGTATTTTACTGTTCCTCTTCCTGCTCTTCACTCGCTTCTGGCTGATCAGTGTGCTCTATGCCACCTGGTGGTTCATCGATTGGGACACGCCTTCAAAAGGAGGAAGAAAAGTGCCCTTTCTGTGCCGAATGCCCATGTGGGAGCACATGAGAGATTATTTCCCCGTAAAAGTGAGTGGGCGGACTTACTGAAGCATGCATAGCAAAATTATATCTCTTGTTTGTTTTGACCTTTTAAATACGATCTGAAACAGATTTTGTCACTTTTATAAACCATGTCATATTAACTACCTTAACTTGACCAGTCGATTCTGAGATTTAGGGTTTAAACTGTAGCCTATTTGCATAGTTTACCGAATGGCATTATATGTAAAGTGTCTTCTTTGTTGTTAATCTTTTTGCAGTCCATCATATGCATAAATGAACATCAGGATAATAGTGCTTTGACCAAATGAAATCAACACATTGTTATTGCTTTAGGGAGAAAAACAAGGCCAAACCATTTAAATGTACAGATAAATTGTGATTTGCAGGCCCACAGACTGAGATATCAATCTAGTACTGCCATCTAGTGTCTATTCATTGTCTGAAAAAAGCAGCCCCCATGCATTTCCATAGAATGTTAACTATGATTTAATATACCCTCGGGTTCAAAGACAAGGCTTATGCCTAGTTCCAGACTAAATTGCATTATTTGAGCTCTTATATCTTAAAATATGTCTGCCATTGTTGTCTCAAGATGCACACCAGTAATGTGTTTTTTTATAAGGCACGTTTAAAAAAAAAGCTACTTAAATGTCCTAATTGAACTAAGACCTTATCCTGGCTTAATCTAATTGTTGATTAAAATATGTCCTTTAAAGGAATACATCTTAAATATCTTAAAATCATCTTTTGCATTGATTATCATTTAGATATGGTATTAGTAAAAACACTTCATCTATTGTCTACTGTAAAATGTTTGTACAGGGTATGTGGCATCACCATACATTAATTGTTTTGTTTTCATTGTGATTTTATATCTTCTCAAAATACGATCAGTGACATTATCAGATTGTATAATGATTTTAAAAGGACACATTATTTGAGTACTTACAAATTGCCATTGGCTTACAGAACGTTACGTTTCATTGTAATCCTAAATGCATGGTGTGTTCATAGTACATGGTGTATACACACACACACACACACACACACACACACACACACACACACACACACACACACACACACACACACACACACACACACACACACACACACACACACACACACACACACACACACACACACACACACACACACACATATAGACAGAGAATGAGAAAGACATAAAGACAGAAGGATTTACACACATACAATTGGACTGCTAACAATGAGCTTAGTATAAAATAAAGTGTGTGTGTGTGTGTAAACACACCATGCATTTAGGATTACAATGAAACGTAATGTTCTTTAAGCCAATGGCAATTTGTAAGTACTCAAATAATGTGCCCTTTTAAAATCATATACACATACTTACTGACTTACTTACTGACCTGAACTTTATATATTGTATTTTTTAAAGACATTTATACTTTTATTCTGCAAGGATGCATTAAACTGATCATATAATAATAAGAAATGTTTCTTGAGCACAAAATCAGCATATTAGAATGTTTTCTGAAGGATCATGTGACACTGAAGACTGGAGTAATGGCTGCTGAAAATTCAGTGTTGCCATCACAGGAATAAATTACATTTTAAAATATATTACAATGGAAAACAGTTGTTTTAAATGGTAATAATATTTCACAATATTACTGTTTTTACTGTATTTTTGATTAAATAAACGCAGCCTTGGTGAGCATAAAAGTCTTTGTCCCACCCCAAACTTTTCAATAGTGTGTTTCATGTTTCTGAGGTTATGTAGAGAAAATGTACAGTATACTGAGGATTTTGTCTATAAAAATAACTTGCAAACTTTTTGGAACAAAGTTTAAAACTAAACTGATAAGTGCTATTTTAGTGCCAATCTCGCTATACTTTGTACTCTCGTCTTTATGTGAAAAAAACCCTTTGTTTTTCTCAACAGTGAGTGCATCGGGTACACCAAACACCACTGAATTGATTAGTGTGTCAGAGAAATGTTATCACTCTGGTTATTAAACCTTTGATACACTAATGTCTCTTATCTATGTATCTGTCCATAGTGACACTCTTTTACATTTTGAACAACAGAGAAGGCATTGGCCTCAGAAGACACCATGTGTTCAGAGTAAATGAGTAACTGTAAACAATGTGAGGGGCTTTAAACCCCATTCAATAAAAGTGTCATGGCCATGATCTTGAAAGGACACAATAATACCCATTTATACCCATCAAAACAACTTCAAAGGTTAATGAATGAATGTGATTGAAATTATTTAGATTTTGCTTAAAATGCTACCCATTTCCTTTAAGTTAGTTAATTTCATTCGTTGTATAAATCATAAGAGCTCAGCCATTTACTTACAATTGCGTTTTTTTCTAAGAAAATTGACTTTTTGTCAATTCACCATACAATCTGGGTTTATCCCAGGATTCAAAAGCAGACACAACATATGACTAAATGCGTCATTAGTATTAAAAAGCCCTTGCTGCTAAACAGAGCATTTGTATTCGAAGGGAATAATTGATTAAGATGAAACCTTGCTTCAACCACCGGTACAAATTTTCCCTTATATCCTCATTCAACCTCTTGACTTGAAAGCAGAGCTCAGGGATCTTGGAATAAGCAGACTTTTGCTTATGCAAGTTGGCATGGTGGGAATTTTATTACCTTAAAGAAAATGGTGTCTGAGTTATCAAGAACCTACCTCCACAAGTGCAGCGTTGTTTCATTTTGGTGTCTTAATAATGGTGTGATAGGAATAGATTTGGTCTGTTTTCTCAAGGACCACCCTATGGCAGGATGCCAGCGTTGGTCCTAGAGAGCCGCTGTCCTGCAGAGTTTAACTCCAACCCTAATCAAACACACCTGAACAAGCTAATCAATATCTTCAGGATTTCTAATGCTACATGCAGTTATTTTTATCAAGGTTTGAAGCTAAACTGGACAGGACAGCGGCACTCCAGGACCAACTTTTGTCATCCCTGCCCTATGGCGAAACTAGGCTACTTGGCATTATCAAACCGGGATTTAGAGACATCGATCGTTCATCAATCAAACACTTCTAACCTGATAAGATGTTGGCTGTGCAATGGGACCTCTACTTTTTTATGACCCTCCTTACAGCTTTAATCTTGTTAGTCTCCAGCCCGTTCTCATCCTTTGGCGTCATACATGTGACGCTTGTACATTTCGTTGAAATCTTACGCACATGGCATCCTTTAGCATCAATATGAGACGCAGATCCCAAGGCGTCATACAGGTGACGCGCGTGTAAATCCAACGCACATGGCATCGTTTAGCGTGAATATGAGACGCAGATCCCAAGGCGTCATAACCGTAACCCGACCCCAGACCTAAACCTACCCATAACAGTGCGTGTTATATTGACGCTAAAGGATGCCATGTGCGTAAGATTTCGACGAAATGTCATATGGCGTCACCTATTTGAAGTCTCTGGTAGAAGAAGAAATGTTTGGCAGTCAGAAAAACGCATAAAGAATTGCCTGTGTGAGGGAGAACATCGCCAGTCTTATTAGACAGTAGTTAGTGGAACAGTATTTCCTTAATAATTAACCCATCTACAGTAGACAGACCATTGGCATTCATCACTGAAGAAGAAAAAAATGGTGTAGGATTTACTTAAAAAAGGCTAGGAAACAATTTTCACTCAGAAACTGCTAGTACATTTTACAAATAATTACAAAGAAATGACAAGTAGCACATTGATTTGAAGTAGAAAGACTGAATTGTGTTTTATGTTTTATTTACAACTAAAAAATAATAATATTTTTTTATTGACGAATAAATAAATATGTGAACATGAAATATTGAGACGAAAAAATAGTAAAGTACAACAAACAGCCAAGACGCCAGACGAACACTGCAACAATTGTTTTCGCCTGCAGCTGCAGGAGCTATCGATGTGATAGTGAACTTATATTTTTCATATTCATGAATGAATGCACCACCATTCTCGCAGTTGCAGGATGTTAAGAGTGGAATGGATATTGATCACTGAAAGTCTATGTAAACGTGTTTCACACTGCACTCACTTCCACTTTTTCTTAGAGAGCAAAATAGTTTTTTCTTGGAAAAACTGTTGGTGATTCTGATTCTGGTTCTTAGAACTTCCTGTTTTTGTTCATGTCAATCCAAATAACCCACCTCAAACACAAACCATTTCAGTCTGTTAGGGTTAGATTGTTAATCTAAATTTTAGAATTTTGTTGTACTGTACCTTGCAGTTTGGTGATTGGTAAGGTATTAGCAGATCCTAGATCAGGGTGAAAGGTCATTATAGAGCCAAATGCAGGACTGCACTGCACATGATCAGCACATGATCACTGACCTTTAACAGCTGCCATTTTAAGAAATGCATGAAACGTTATGAAATGTATTCACATTCTTCCAAATCCTTAAAGGTGCAATGTGTAAAAATTTGGAGTATCTATTTAACAGAAATGCAATATGACATCCATAACTATGTGTTCAGTGGTGTATAAAGAACTTACTTAATAAACCGTAATGTTTTTATTACCTTAGAATGAGACATTTATAACTACATAACCGCGGGCACCCCCTTCTATGAAGGTCGACATATTGTAACGTCATGTTTCTACCGTAGCCGAACGCGAACACACAGCACGCGTTTCGTCACTACCTTGAAAGAGAAGCCGCAGAAACCTAGAAGCTAGTCATAAACACCGTGAGTAGTGACTTTTCCCTTGTCAGTGGTGTAAAATGTGTAGTTGGACTGTTTCATGTAACTTTAACTTAGTTCTTCTCCCTCGCTGTGCTATGGCTTTGCTATGTGGGGATAAATGTGCTGGTTATGTTCGTGAGACAGCTGATTAGTACTCTTGTCATTGACCGTAAAACAGTATGTTACAGGGATCACTAACCCGTCGATCGCGGTCGACAAGTCGATCTTGGAAGCATTTTAAGTCGATCGCGGAGAGTTTTCAAAATCAGAGAAAAAAAAAGCCTATTGTGTGTAGTAAATGGTGTCTAGGGGATGCGGAGGCGCGTGCGCTGTCATGTCATTTCTGCCGCGCGCACCTTTGGGCTCATGCGGAAGCGTCGAGTTTAAACAAGGCTTTACGCTTTAACGAGCTCAGCCACAGTAACAGCTCATATTAGCCAGCTAAACTTTTACTACCCTGTTAGAAAACATATATAGTTGCATAGTTTCATGTGGTTCTTCTCCCTCGCTGTATTATGGGTTTGCTATGTGGGGAGAAATGTGCTGGTTACGTTTGTGAGACAATCAGCTGATTACTATTATTATATTATATATTAAGACCCTTGATCCTCACCTGACTATGGCTTTGTAAACTTTATCCATGATGTGGTTTATAATGGACTGTGGTACAGAAACAGTGACAATGTTACACACTCTTGGCTTACTCTGGCTATTCTCTGCTGTCTCAGACGACGATATATTTGTCCCGTTTTAGCCACCGTAGCTTCTTCGAAAGGGAGGGGTGAGCAGTGGGCTGAGCCCTTAGTGCAAACTCGCAACCGAACCGCTAGATGTCGCTAAAAATCACACACTGCACCTTTAAGTTGTTTAAATGGCTTTACTTTATCTCTTTGTTAGCTGGTGAAGACAGCTGATCTGGACCCTAGGAAGAACTATGTACTGGGTTTCCATCCTCATGGTATACTTGTGGCGGGTGCATTTACAAATTTCTGCACAGAGGCAACAGGTTTCAGAAAACTCTTCCCTGGGCTGAAGAGCAACCTTCTAATGCTGCCTCTCTGGTTCAGAGCCCCCTTCTTCAGAGACTACGTAATGTCTGCTGGTCAGTAGTTTCCCTGATCACAGAATATAGAATACTGTAAATATGTATATTTATTAATATGCGATAAACGAACTTTATCAGAAACCACACTCTTAGAAAAAAGGGTTCTTGGGTCAATTTAAAACAACCCTTTATTGCCAAAAAGGTTCTAAATAAGGAGGAACTATTGTATTAATGATTACATTGTACTTTTATGTTTAATGGGTTATTTCTGTTTTTTCTTCTAGTTGTGAAGTTTGTTTACGAACTGTTTAATTCATACAATTTAATCAAAATCAAAACAATGAAAACTAAATCAAATAAGTAAAACTGAATCTATAAAATGATATCATGATGGGAACCTCTAAAAGGTTCTATATAGTGCCTGACAGAACCATTCAAGCTTCTATGTAGAACCTTTTCTTCTAAGAGTGAAAAGATGTAAAGTGCATCATATTCATGTTGTTATATTTTGAAGATGAAATATGATTTACTATTTGCATGGGAAAATTGTATAAACAGCATTATTTTATTTTATTTTATTTTATTGTACAACCAGCTGTTGTAACTTTAATGTGTGTGTGTACTCTAGGCCTGGTTCCATCGGACAAGGAGAGTGCCAGCTATCTGCTCCGGCGGAAGGACGGTGGGAACGCTGTGGTCATTGCAGTTGGCGGTGCTCCTGAGGCTTTGGATGCCCACCCTGGGGAACACATTGTTCACCTGGCCGATAAGAAGGGCTTCATTAAGCTTGCGATAGAGCATGGGTAAGCAGCAGTTAATAGCATAAGAGGCTATCGCAGCCTCTTGTTGTATTTGTGCCAGTTATTCATCGCCAGATAGTTCTCTTGAGCAACAGCTGGTCGTTTCTGAAATACAAACTTGTGCAACTTGCAGTTGCTAGTAATATCGTTGAATTTATGAAAGACTCAGTGACCCGTAAAGAGTTTGATTAAGAAATTGTACATGGCACAAAAGTTAATGGTATATTAACAGTTGTGATTAAGCAGAGTAAAGAACAATTATAATTGATATCTATATTTATAACAATTTTACACTTCACTCTGGAATACCTGATTTTGCTTGGTCAAACGTAACATTCAGCTCTTTTTAATATTAAACATTTAAACTCAATTTCCATTTCTTGTTAGGGTTTGTTTTGTGATAATGATTGCATACATTATCTATTATTTTCTCACAAAGAATTTAGTTTAAAATCTATATTTTTTTCATATCTCCTCCAGTGCAGATTTGGTTCCTATATATTCGTTTGGAGAGAACGAGCTATTTGACCAGGTGCAGAACCCTCGTGGCACCTGGCTGCGATATATTCAAGAGCGTCTGCAACGCATGATGGGCGTTTCTCTACCCCTCTTCCATGCACGAGGTGTTTTCCAGTACAGCTTCGGCCTATTACCCTACAGAAAGCCCATCAACACTGTTGGTAAGTGCAATCAAATATTAGTCAAATATTAGCAATATCAGGTCAAGGGTTAGGTGCAAATCACATCCATGATCTGTGCTAATATCTTTTTGTAGCCTATACCCTAAACCGATGCAATAATCTCTCTCACATTTGTTAGCCATTTATTTGTTGTATTGTACCAATGCACAAGTCTTTTCTGTTACCACTTTTAGCCTAATGTAGCACGTCCAAACTGTTGCAAAAGCTGATCTTTGCTTTTTAGCAACCCTAGAGAAATGTCATATCAGCAAAAGATCTATCTATCTGTTTCTGTCTATCCAGCTATCTATCTATCTGTCTATCTGTCTATCTATCTATCTATCTATCTATCTATCTATCTATCTATCTATCTATCTATCTATCTATCTATCTATCTATCTATCTATCTATCTATCTATCTATCTATCTATCTATCTATCTATCTATCTATCTATCTATCTATCTATCTATCTATCTATCTATCTATCTATCTATCTATCTATCTATCTATCTATCTATCTATCTATCTATCTATCTATCTATCTATCTATCTATCTATCTATCTATCTTTGTTTGTCAATTATGAAGCTAACATATGAATTGTCTTCTCCAAGTGGGTAGGCCAATCCCAGTAGAGAAAAACGAGAAACCAACAGCTGAAGAACTGGATGTGTTTCACCAGCGATATATGGATGAACTCACCCGCCTGTTCGAGGAACACAAAGGAAATTATGGAGTACCTGAAGACACTCACCTGCTGTTCCAGTGAGCGATTCGGAGTGTGTGTGTGTGTGTGTGTGTGTGTGTGTGTGTGTGTGTGTGTGAGAGAGAGAGATACAGAAGGACAGTATATATGTGTGGTTTAGTTTCAATGTTGTCAGCATTTAAAACATAGTTGTTTTGCTAAAAAATACTAATTGTTGAAAAAAATATCAGCATTCTATTTTCCTGATAAAGGACAACATTACAGTTATAATCAATTGGCTCTACTTTAATTTGTAACTTACAGCTGTTAAACACTGCACAAATGTTTTTTTTCTTCATGTAAATTCAAATTGACATGCTTCATGTTTTAATTTTTCTCATTCGCTTTGGCACATTTTTCGAAACAGTCTTAACATTCTCTAAAACTGTAAGTGCAGTTATCACAACTGTTTGCTGGATCATCAGAACTCTATTGCATGTCTTAAAAATGTAACTTTTTCAGTTTATATGTAACACATTTCTACAAAATGTACTGTATGAATACAAATGTATTACTGCTGTAGCTGCCGATGTTTAGGGTTGTGACCTTCCTCCATGTTCAAAAATGGTGGTGATTTTGCTGGGCGAACTCCATATATATGCTTCCAAATTTGATTGGCAGGATTTTGATTCCTATTTCATTACAACAGCAGGCCATTTGCTAATTTAGAAGATCTTACAAACATTCCATGTCATAGGTTTTTATGAAATATACGTGCATCAGAGTCTGTTTAAATGACTACTGACACAGAGCCACTAAAGTTTCTCCACTGAATCTCAAACGATGGTTGCATCTCTCAGGAGGATTGCAGTGTAAATGTCTCTGGCCATTACAACATGTAAGACAAAGTTACGATGGAACTCATTCATCTGATTATGTAAAATATGAAAGTCTTGACATCAGAGAGACAGATAGACAAATGCAACCCTGTCCCATGAGGCTATTTGTGACCTCCGGGATGATTTGGGTCTAAGCTTGCACCATGCATCGGTCTGTCCTGTTTCACAATTCTGGTTTAGAAAACACTTGGTCATGCCAAAACATTTCTTCACAACCAGGTTGACTACACACGCAATGACCACAGGGTGACCAGATGTCCATGCCGATTAAATCAGGCTTTGAACATTGCATTTGGACAGACAGACAGACATTTACATGCACAAGAAACAGTGCCAGAGACAGACATCACATTTGAAGGTCAGCAATGGACAATGGCTGTTAGGAAGACATGGAAGACATTGAAGTCATTAAACTGGCCGGTTGCTATGTCATTGGTTCAAATATAGTGCAAATATGAAATGCATGAGAACATTGGGTCGAAGGCAAACCCTTGATATGACTCTGCATTTGGTTATAGTACAGAATAAAATAGGTCTCATTTGTGAATGGTGGGTTTAGAGGGGAGGTAAGGGGGTGTTTCACTAGCCTGGAAACTTTGGCTCTCAGCTAGATTGACAAATTGGACATGCGCTGAATATCCTGTCTCATGCCCTATGATAACACCCTGAGGAGCTATTTTTGATGCCTGAAGGTACAAACGGCTTAAATTCAAATGGCATGGGGCAACGTTTTTATGGGAAGGCTTTCACAAGGTTTTTCTGAGTCAAATACAAGAATACAAGTTAAAAAAAAAAAGTTTTTTAAGTGTATGTGTGCTTGTTGGTTTTAACCTAATTCCTAGTTCCAAAAATAAAGAAGATCTAGATTTCTCATTTAACATGGAAAATGTGTCATGCTTTAATGGAGGATTTCTGTCACCTGGTGGAAAACACACTTTTAACATGAAAATGACATGAAATTTCAACTATAACCAGTATGGCAGAGGACCACTCATTAGCTCTTTTGCCATTTCCACTCCCTTTTTTCTCGTGTTTTGATTTTGGATTTATTATAAAACTAATATTATTACAAATTACAAATACTTCATAAGTTAAATAAATAAATAGAGCCTAAATAAGCCTAGATTTTACAGTGGATGTGAAACCGTCTTGAATTGCTCCAGCATCATATTGTAAACCGCATTTATTTGGGTCGGCAGTGGCTCAGTGGTTTGTGGTTCAATCCACGGTTCCAAGTGTCGAGGTGTCCATGAGCAAGACACCTAACCCCAGCTGCTCCCGACGAGCTGGATGGCGCCTTGCATGGCTGACACTGCCGTCGGTGTATGAGTGAGTGAATGGGTGAATGTGAGGCAATATGTAAAGCGCTTTGGTGGCCATTGGGTCTGTGAAAGCGCTATATAAATGCAGTCCATTTACCATTTATGACAAAGAACCACACAGATGCAGTCAGATATCATAACAATCTATCAATAAATGCACACAAGTTGTCCTCTGCTTTTAAAACTGATACTGCGCTATGGATTGAAGAATATGTTGAATTACGCAGACTAAAATACGGGGAGGAGCCGAAGCCTGCCGCTGGTTTCATATGGGTTTTAACGGAGTTAATTGTAATTTTTTAGGGAGGCTGGGTGGAAATTTAAGGGGGCTAAAGCGCTCCTAAATTGGGCCTAGTGACAAGCCTGATTCAAAATATACTAAAAATGGCCAAAAACGGCAAAGTATTAGCGAAATAATAATATTTAATTATTAATATAGAAGTGCTTCTGTGTATATTGTGAAATAATCCAAAACCATTATAACAATTTAACATATAACGTAATTTTTCATCCCAACTAATTTTTTTAAACATTTTTTTAAACAACATCACCGAGGCTCCATAGGTAATCTGTCCAGTGGTCTAATAGCAGAGACAGTTGCTCTTAATGAAAGCCTTTCCAGGTATCTGCATGATAAGGACAGTACCTTGCATTAATCTTTGTGTACATCTTGATATGGTGCATACTTCCATGTGTGTGTGCCAGGGTGTGGAGGTGTGTATGTCAACAAACACGTGGTATTTTTGAGACACTCTGAATTCATGTATTTTAAGCCTATGATCCTGAAGAAAAACAGTTATTTAACATCAGGTTTGGCCTATAGAGTTCTTTTAAGGTAGTCTAACATGAGTCTCCCATATCATAAATGGTGAAAAAATTTGTTTTTTTAATAGTGATTTTTAAAAAAAATATTGCACTGGAGTAGATGCGATGATCTTGATATGAAAATCTGATATTTTTAGAACAAAAGAGCAAAGTACAAGAAGACCAGAGGCTTAGTATGCTTTTTATCATTTCAACAACACCTTATCTGCACTTGACACCAGTAGATTAATGCATGTAGTGTGGATGACCATTATTGCAAAGAACAAAAACATGCTGCTGATGAAGAAGTAAACCATAAAAGAAAGACGAAAAACAATACAGACGCTGCAAAAACATTATCCCCATATCTCTTTGACCTTCAGATTATAATATGAGACATATACTATGTTACTTTAGAAGCATATACTGTAATCTGTAAATCAGTACATGAATCAATGCCAACAAATTAGGATTTGTCTAATACTGTATAGACCAAAGTTCAAAGACCAGCTAAATAATCTCAGCCAAATGGACCTTTGATATTGATACTGTAACTGTACAAATTTGCAGTCTAGACTAAATGTATTTCCTCATCCAAGTTGGGTGATTATTGGCACTCAGTAAAAATGGCCATTATCAGTTTATCTGCTGTGATATCTGGTATCAAATTCATAGTCCAATATTGTAAAATATTACATTTTTATTATTACTAATATTACAACATTTCATAAACTTCAATACTTTAAAAACCCAAGCTGCTTAAATTTATAATTGAAAATTACAACTGTAATTTGTGAAAATGTTTACAAGAAATGACAATACATCACTGACTAAACTGACATTATCAACTTAAAGGGATAGTTCACCCCAAAATGAAAATTCTGTCAGTAATTACTCACCCTCATGTTGTTCCAACCCCTGAAAACTTTCGTTCATCTTCGGAACACAAATTAAGATATTTTTGATTAAATCTGAGAGCTGGATCACTCCAGTTGAGCAGTTGAAGATAGAAATAAAGGTGAGGGTTCTGTCTGCCATCTGAGTGGTGGCCAAGTCTGCGAGAGGAACAGGGCAATGAAGGTCACTGGCAGTGGCAACACTGGCCTTGGTGTTGTGAAAAAGGAAAAGTGGAACATTATGAAACACCCAATATCCCTAATGGACATTCAGACTGGCAGGCTGCTATCTCTCACAAATATCATATTTGTTTTATATTTTAGTTTCTTCTGGGGCTTATTGAAGTTTTGTGTAATGACTTACAAAGTAGATTATTATTATTAATACTCATAATAAAAATTGAGTCTTGGGGTAGATTGAATAAACCTTATTCAGGGCAGCGCCATTACAGGTATACAAGTGAGGCTGTGAGGGATCGACTGTATCAAAAGCTGTATAAAGCTTCTGGCTAGATCACTTATAACTTTCCACAGCTCATGTTGTCTGGAGTTTTTTGTCAACTGACATTTCTTGGAAAGATATTTTTGCAGTGTTTTGTGAGCAGAACAATCCAAAAACACTTTAAATAACAGTACAGCCATGGCTTACCATTGGGCTTGACTGGGCTGCAGCCCATGGGCCCCCTCCCTTACCGTTTTCGGTCGTTTGTTTTGTTCGGTTAACTTGTATGCAGATATCCGAAAAAACCAGTCAGTATATGGTGTGACCACCATTTGATCCTTGCAACATGGGTCCGTGCATTATCATGCTGCAACATGAGGTGATGGTCGTGGATGAATGGCACAACAATGGGCCTCAGGATCTCGTCACGGTCTCTCTGTGCATTCAAAATGCCATCAATAAAATGCACCTGTGTTCGTTGTCCATAACATACGCCTGCCCATACCATAACCCCACCGCCACCATGGGCCACTAGATTCACAACTTTGACATCAGCAAACCACTCACCCACACGACGCCATACACGCTGTCTGCCATCTGCCCTGTACAGTGAAGTGTACCTGTTCATCCGTGAAGAGAAGACCTCTCCAAAGTGCCAGACGCCATCTACCCACTCAGGTCAGTTACGACGAGGAACTGCAGTCAGGTCGAGACCCCGATGAGGACGACGAGCATGCAGATGAGCTTCCCTGAGATGGTTTTTGACAGTTTGTGCAGAAATTCTTTGGTTATGCTAACCGATTGTTGCAGCAGCTGTCCAGGTGGCTGGTCTCAGACGATCTTGGAGGTGAAGATGCAGGATGTGGAGGCCGGTTGGATGTACTGCCAAATTCTCTGAAACGCCTTTGGAGACGGCTTATGGTAGAGAAATGAACATTCAGTTCAAGGGCAACAGCTCTGGTGGACATTCCTGCAGTCAGCATGCCAATTACACTCTCCCTCAAAACTTGCAACATCTGTGGCATTGTGCTGTGTGATAAAACTGCACATTTTAGAGTGGTCTTTTATTGTGGCTAGCCTAAGGCACACCTGTGCAAAAATCATGCTGTCTAATCAGCATCTTGATATGCCACACCTGTGAGGTGGATGGATTATCTCGGCAAAGGAGAAGTGCTCACTAACACAGATTTAGACAGATTTGTGAACAATATTTGAGAGAAATAGGCCTTTTGTTTACCGGTACATAGAAAAAGTCTTAGATCTTTGAGTTCAGCTCATGAAAATTGGGGGCAAAAACAAAAGTGTTGCGTATATAATTTTGTTCATTGTATTTATAACACGAGCCTATGATATGAGTTACAGTATCACACCAGCAAGAGTGCAGTTTTTCCGAACAATTTCCGAAGAATTTTCAGTTTCTGTGGTTGCACCCCCCCACCTCCACAATGTTTGCATAGGTGCACTGGAACAATCCTTCATAAAACGCATTAAACTTTAGTTTACAAAGACATGAAACTCACCTGTGAACTCACCGAGTGGTCTGGGGTGTTCACTGATATGCTCGCACAAAAATCGCTGCAGAAGATGTTTTCCAACAGGTTTTATCGTATCCAATTGAAGTCAATGGAGTTGGACAAAAACTGCGATAAAACCTGTTGGAAAGCATCTTTTGCAGCGATTTTTGTGTAAAATACCGAACTTGTCCTTTAAACGAATTAGGATTTTTGAACGAATCGGTTGAATAAAGGATTCAACTCCCTCATTAAGATGGAGACTTGCCGCCACCTACTGGCGGTGTTAGTTTCATAGTTAAAAAGTAGACTTATTTCATTTTTTTTCAATCATTTCATATTTCTACATTAATTTTTTTTACATTTAAAACATTAATCTCTTAACATAATTTATGCAATTATAATTTGCTGTGTACATCCATACATGCCATGTCTAAACAGCCTGTGTCAATCCAAAAATGGATTTTATAGATACCGACTTCCTTTTATTTGGTCATAATAGTAGGGCTATTATGTCCGTGTCACCGTATTATGTCCGTATCACCGTGTCTTTGCATTCTGATTGAATTTGTTGACTAAATTTATGAATCTGACATAAGAGGACAGATAGCTATGACAATGAATGTAAAAATACTGTTTTCTCTTGGCTTTATTATTAGACTTTTGATCTTCTCTCAACCGAGACAGCACATCCTGCATTAGGCCTATATTGTATTATAATGACTATTTAATATTAGCCTACCACTAAACTTTGACTATAGGCATGTTGCACATTAATTGTTCTAGGAACCTCGAAAGCATATTTTCATTTTTGTGTAATTTGTGCTACTCCATAATGATGTTTGTAGCGTAAATAGGGCCCAAACATGAACTCAAGCCCAGGGGCCCCCAGCCCCCTAAGTCCTGCCTACAGCACACTGAAGAGATGTAGGCCTATGTCTATCCCTTACAGCCTCGCTTTCATTCCCGTTAAAAAAGATTCCGCTGCTGTGAGTAAGGTCACTTCATAAATTTAAAATATGAGAAAAAAAATAGTAATTAGCCTAATGTGTGTTTTTATAAAGAGTGGACAATCAGTTTTGGCCATTGGTCAATAAAGTCTGGGGGAGGGGCTAAAGTATCCTCCACCTGATTGGCTGGGCGCCCATCTCCGTTCCAGTTTACCTTGACAAACCTTTAAAACCTCCAGATCAGAAGAAGCGAACCAGTCAGAGTCAACAGTCTCAGCGGAGCCTTGTGGGGTTGACAGCTACAGCCAGCTTGGCTATTATCAGAAATTTATCAGACAGAATCATTTTTTTGGAAATAAGAACTTGACAACCGTTGACAACGTCTTTATTTCTGACAGCGAAGGCGGTAACAGTTTGATTGACAGCGCTTTCGATACTCCTCCTCCAGAGGCGCTTAAATGACAGGCGCGTGCATGTGAGTTCGCGTTGACGCCAGTACAGAGAGGGATGCTGTAGAGCAGCTCAACTTCCACCAGCGAGACTTATTCTGTTTAATTTATCATTCGTGCCTCAACCATGAAGACCATACTCGCTGCATATTCTGGTGTCCAAAAGGGTAAGTAAAAAAAAAAGTGAAATAATTGCTGTTTTGCTCATTTAATTTGTTGTTCAAATTTGTGTGTAGCCTATACATTTTTAGCCTAATTTTACAGTTTTTCTATATTAATAAATATGTAATAATGTATTCCATACTTTATTCCATATAATAGTTTTTGTGTAGCTAACAATCAGGTGGTAGTTTAGACACTTCATGTCCAGATTCATGGAGGTATTGAGCGGTTACAAAGTCTCCACCGTGTTCGGTGAATGAGGGGGATAAAAGTGTTACATGAGCATTAACGTTAGTGTCTTACTTCGCAGTGTGACTGATGTTTGTTGTTATTTTCAGTCTGTTAAGATGGGATTAAGTTGTCTTGTGATCTGATTCTAAGGGAAGTGTGTGTGCTTTAGTACTGTATTAATTGTATTTTCTGGTGGGGCTTTTTGAACCGTGTAAAATGTGCGTCAGTTTTGTGAATAATGAATTAGAGGTATTACGGTGTTGGTTGTGTGCTCTGATTCTTAGGATATAAAAGCAAAGATCTTTCTGTTAAAACACATTCAAGTCTTAACCACAACTGGTTATTACTGGTATGTTACTTCTTTGTCACAGTCATGATATGCATGACATTTATTCCCAGGCTTCAGACAGACCTAGTGTTGAGAACAAGCATTCCCACAACATTAATCTGGGAAATTCCGATTGTCCTTTAAATCCCATGTAGGCTCAGGCTCCAGCATCCTCTCTGCCTTACATGACCTGCCGTCCGTCCCCTGGCTGACACGATCCAAGATCGTGAAACATCTGCAGATGATCTCCGTCCTGCAGTTTGTCATGACATTTCTTGCCATGGGTGAGTGAACAGTTAAAATCTTTACGAGACTTAAGTCGAAGGCTTAGAGAATTTACAATGGACATTGTGCTGCCTTACTGAACTCATATGAATTATTTTTGTTGTTTATGAAACGTCAAGTCTAAATGCTCTTTTTGCTCTTCTAGGCATTGGCTGCTCTCTGCTGCTTATGTACATGTTTTGCACTGACTGCTGGGTAATTGCCGCCGTTTACACGGCCTGGCTCATCTATGACTGGAACACCCCAAAGCAAGGTAAAGATTTCAGTCTTCTCTTCCATGATTAAAGCACATCATGATTCAATCTGTTCAGAAGTGTGGGATGCTTGTTCCGACTGTGTTTGCATTTGTTAATGTTCCAACATCTTTATCTTAGGAGGCCGCAGATCGACCTGGGTGAGAAATTGGACTGTGTGGACATACTTTAGAGACTATTTTCCCATAAGAGTGAGTGACTTTACGTCTTATACAACATTATGGTTTGAATTCAAAGAATTCAAATGACTTAGACACTGAACAGCTAATAGTTAGGTAAATACAAAGATAAGCCTCAAACTGGAGTTATAAAATGTATGGACTTTGCAAATCTAATAGTACAAATCCTTATAGAGTTTATAAGTTTAGATTTAAAAGGGACAGTTCACACAAAAATGAGTATATCATTATTTACTCAGCTTCATGTTGTTCTAAACCTGTTTGACTCTCTGTCATCAGAAAATATGCTATCGTTCAAAATGTTGGGGTTGATAAGATTTTGTAATGTTTTTGAAAGAAGTCTCTTATGCTCAAACAGACTGCATTTATATAAGCAGTAATTTTGTGAAATATTATTACAATTTAAAATAACTGTTTTCTATTTCAAAAAGTAATTTATTCGTGTGATGTCAAAGCTGAATTTTACTCCAGTCTTTAGTGTCACATGACTCTACAGCAGGGGTTCTCAAAGTTTTGATAGGTGAGGGCCAATTTAGGAACCCAACATTGAACTGAGGGCCGCCAAAGTGGCGGGGGAGAAAACGAAGAAAAAAAAAACTGAAAAGAAAATCCCATTTGAAATTATTTTAATGACCAGGTTGCATCTCTACAGTTTACATTAGTTGCAATAAACACATTTTAATTCATAACTGAGGCTAAACCTGGCAAAACTTGTGAAAATTTTGGGGGGGAGAGAAATAAACTTTTAAAATAGAAGCTTACCAAACAAGTCATCATCATCATTCATTTCTATCATTGCTTGTCAGTCGCGTTTCCATTATTGCAGATTTGCATATTATTATCTATCTTTTTTAACCCGTAACTGAAAAACGAAAAATGAACGGTTGTTGTCTTTTTAAAACGCAAAGTTGAACAAAATTTTAATTTGAACTGGCTTCACCAACTGCTGCGCAAAAAAAGTAAATATCGACAGACTTTTTCAGATTTTTGTTTAAATGACTTTCTGCCCCTTTATTAAACATTTTAAATATTCACAAATTAATATGGAAAACATGTCGATTTTACTGGTTTTCTAAGGCCAAATTAGAACCTGGAATTTATATTTTTCCCGCAGTGATGAATGAGAAGAGCCATATAGCCTGTACGTGTCTGATCTAGCCTGATTTATAGGTGAGTTATAGGCTAATGATAATAAATGCGTCTGAAAAAACAGCGAGGCATTTTAATTGTTTATTAATAAACTATTGTTTTCTAAGTGTCGGCTAAAAACATATCTCCATCTCCGCTGTTAAGCAGATGCGCTTTTAGAGAGAAATCCACCTTTCATACGGATTACATAATCAGGTATTTGCTTTCGATTCGAGTTTGTTTGTTTAAAAGTGCACATTTTAAGCTTTAGCCTACACTATATTTTGTTTCAGTTCTCGCGCTCCAGTTCACGGAGATCATGAAAGCGCGTAGTAGCCTAGGCTACTGATTCTTTTATTTTATTTTACAAAAGCACGTTTTCTTGTTATGAGTTTACACAAATAAAAGTAGTTGCGAATAATGCATTATTATTTTCTGTATGACCAGAAATGATAGACTAGTTTAAGTTGTTTCCACTGTTGATAGGAAAATGCAAGTGTTCGCGCCCGCGAACATTTTGAAAGGTAGGCTAATGGAAACGCGGCTATTAATAAGCTTGACATTGTTAAGATTATTATTAAGTGACATTGAATATTGATTACTTGGTCAACATACCCTTTTAAATTGCAATGGGATTTGTGGTGGAAACTGATACATGTTCCAGGATTTTTGATAAATAGTAAGAACATTTATTTGAAAATATTTTTTAATAATTCTTTACTGTCACTTTTGATTAATTTAATGCATCTTTACTGACCCCATCTTTTGAACGGTAGTGTAATTTGCATATTCTGACAAGCATGAAACGTGTAAATATGCATTGATTGGTTTCGTCCTGTTCTTTTCTCTCCTTGACATTGTTGGGTTGGGTGGATCTTGATGTGAGCTGTAAGAGCTCTGCTAGACTTTGCTCGTCCTGATCAGTAGAAGCTTAAGCACTTGTTTTTCTGTTCGTCTTGTGTCATACTTCTGATATATGAACCAGAACACAGGGCTCCATAGAACAACTAGGTGAAACAGGAACTCAAACACAGTTTGGAATAAAACAAATATCTGCTTGAGGAACGGAAAAGTGAACTGTGACCTCTTTGACATACTTTATAAATTCAATCTTAAAATATGGTACTATTTAAATGCAAATCTGAATTTGAAGTATTCAAATTTAATTAAAACCCTTAATACAAAGGACTCTCTCAAAGGAATGCCCTGCCTTGGCCAATTGGCTTGGAAGTTTACCTTGCAGTACACGTAGTGCATTTAAGTCACATGATGAGATCATCACTTTGCCTAGTGTTACAGTGTGTGCCAGCAGTGATAAGAGTGAGGAGAAATAAGGTCAGCGGTGACTAAAAATTGTCTTAATGAAAAGTTTGATAGATATGAGAATGATTAACATCAGATCAATTTCAAACACATTTGATGAGAAAATGGGTTCATTAAGACCTAGATACAATTAGAACTTTAGATATTTAAGCCTTAGCACCTTAAAATTGGTAATTCATCCTAAAATGAAAATTAAGTCATAAATTACTCACCCTGGTGTTGACCTAATGCTGTATGTCCTTCTTTCTTTTATGGACCACAGAAGGAGATTCTTTTATAAATGTGCCGCTTGCGCTCATCTTTAAAATGACAGTGAATAGCGACCAGCATCAATCTTTTTTTAAAAAGACGCAAACGCATCACAGAATGATCCGATGCAACACATGTTGTATATTCCAAGTGTTCTGGGGGTAACATAAATTTCACATCATATACCCCCAGAACACTTGGAATATACGATATGTGTCGCATGGGATAATTCTATGAGGCTTTTGTGTGTGTGTTTTTTTTAGAAAGTTTGAATGCTGGTCGCTATTCACTGCAATTAGGTCCATAAAAGAAAGAAGGGCATATGGCATTAGGGTGATTCATTTTCATTTTAGAGTGAACTATCTCTTTAAGGTGTGGTGATTTTAAGGTGTGGTCAGGGCGAATTTTCATGGTCAAAATCATTCATTTATCAGTCATTTAATATATGAATACACGCAATTGTGAATTTCTCTTGAGGGCGAAACATTTCCTCACCCAGAGTTCAAGTTGGTCACGAGATTTCGCCGTGATGACCAACAGAAACCTTGTTTTGGCAACATCTTCGCAACTACTCACAAAACCATATTATTGTGGAAAGAATAATATTAATTTGATGTATAATAAATGTGCTGTTTCGAGGGTAAGATTTTGAGTCTTGCACTCAAAAACAAGGGCAACTGCACCTGCAAACGTACAAAAGACTAGACTTTCTCTTAGCCTCCTCCAGATGGTTACACATCTCGCGCCGACACAGGATCTGTCTTAAAACCTTTGATTTTTTCATCCGTTAATGTCATTCATTATGTAACACTGACTGCAGTTTGTGTACAGAGGATAAGCAGCTCTTACATATACAGCTTCTTGTAGCCTGCATACTCATTCACTTCCTTGAGAGGCTAACTGTTGCTCCGTTTTATCTGCTGCAAACATTAATACCCATGGCATGTCTGTCCTTTATCTGCTAAAAATATTATGTACTGTATTAGGACAGCAGATAAGTGCTTAATGATAATTTCTGATAAGAAAATGTGTTCGTGAACAATATAATGTACCTTTACTTAGATAAAGTGTCATTACTGACCAATGTCCTAAATCTAGGAAAACCAGGTCTTTTGAAAATGCAAAATATAGCTATTAGTTCAAATGAAGTTGTTTAATAAGTTAATAATTTCTCACTGTGAAATTTAAGCATCACATCCTGTATTTTATAATCGCATAGAAACAATGCAAATTAACTAATCTCCTGCTACATTTTTCTCTGATTATTTGCAGCTTATCAAGACGCATAACCTGCTTCCTAGCCGAAACTACGTTTTTGGCTACCATCCTCATGGCATCTTCTGTTTTGGTGGTTTTTGTAACTTTGGGACAGAGGCCACAGGATTCTCCAAGATATTCCCCGGAATTAAGCCATCTCTTGCCACATTGGCTGGAAACTTCCGCTTGCCAGTGTTTAGGGATTACCTGATGTCTGGAGGTACCTATAGCTGCATTACTAGTTTCATTTTATGGAATAAACCATGCATTCATTATTTGCAATTGCATCATGTATCAGTGTAGCCTGGTCCCACCAGACTCTCGTACATTTAATTTGTACAGAGAGTCTGGCCTCGCTCCATTGACTAGCGTTAACTTACTTGTAGGCGGGTACTCTGTTGAAGTTTAAAACTATTGGATCTGCCCAGAGCCACTCTGGATCTGCCATAACCAATAGCTAAAGTTTGGTCGTGACGTATGACGACTCAAACTAGCGCACGCTATGAGCGCACGACATCAACGTCATCGTTCTCAGCCACTCCCTCTGTTCGCTGATTGGACCGGTAAAAAATTGACCGAAGAAAACCAAAGAATACACCACAAGCCCAGACGTAGTACTGAAGGAAAATAAAAATTGAGCGGAAGTACGTAGGAGGGCGGAGCCAGGCTAGTTTCAGTGAGTGAAGAGTAACTTACTCAATGCAGGAAGTTCGTTTTTTGTCTGATTCTAAAAAGGACCATAGTTGTTCTCTGTGGTGTAGATAAGAATCCTGTAGTCAAGGACCTCTGAGCTTTGTCCTATTGCGTACAGAGACACAGTCCAGCATGTGCTGATGTCAATATTTTTTGAAGAACTGCTGCTGAAACCTGCCCTATGTACCCACTGATTGATAGACTATTCTTCCACCCTCTTATAAGAAACAAACATCAATAGTTTCTTAAAAACTGTCAAACAAACATTTTCCTCAAAATTCCAATATAATATAATATAATATAATAATACAGTTTTGTCGTCTGCTGGTTTAAATGCTTGTGCTCTTTAAAGGATTAGTTCACCTCAAAATGAAAATTTCCTAATAATTTACTCACCCAAATGCCATCCAAGATATCCATGTCTTTCTTTCCTCAGTGGAAGAGAAAATACGTTTTTTGAGGAAAACATTTCTGGATTTTTCTTCGAATAATGGACTTCAATTGCAACCAACGTTTTGAAGTCAAAATCAATGCAGTTTCAAAGGTCTAAGTGCTTTAACCGGCTGTGCACGATCGCAGCTGAGGAAGAGGGTCTTATCTAGCGAAACGATAGTTCATTTTCAAAAAAACAAAACTATATATATATATAATATACTTTTTAACTACAATTGTTCGGATAGAGCTGATCTGCAACGCGCCGGGAACTACGTCATCACATTGAAAGGTCACGCTCGATGAGATTTAAACAGGATACGCACACGTAAGGACCATTTTAAACAATAATATGACACAGACATAAATAATAAATATGTCATTCATCATACAATACAATTTGAACTATCCTCCTTCGCACGGTCGCTTTCTAAACAGTGGGGCGGTACTTATGATCGCGTTGTAGATCAGCTCAATCCGAACAATTGTAGTTAAAAAGTATATGTAAATTTTTTTCGTTTTGAAAATGACCTATCGTTTCGCTAGATAAGACCCTCTTCCTCGGCTGCGATCGTGCACAGCCCGTTAAAGCACTTAAAAGACCTTTGAAATTGATTTGGACTTCAAAACGATTGTTGCAATTGAAGTCCATTATTCGAAGAAAAATCCAGAAATATTTTCCTCAAAAAACTTATTTTCTCTTCCACTGAGGAAAGAAAGACATGGATATCTTGGATGGCATTGGGGTGAATAAATTATTAGGACATTTTCATTTTGAGGTGAACTAATCCTTTAAAACGGGATGAATTCTAACTGGCTGTCAGCAACAAAATCGGACGTAAGCTGTTCCACAAATGTCGTTTCTTATGCGGAAATAGCATTAAAAAAAGCTTATATTTCAAGCTGTAGGAGACATGTGCAGTCCTACGTGCGCACGGCCGCATTAACAATAGGGCTAGGCGGGGCTAAAGCCCCGGGGCCCGAACAAGGAGGGGGCCCTTGATTGGCTGTGGAGCAGATACTAGCCATCTGATTGCCAAATCCTTACCACGCAACGCCCCCCACAAATTAGCCCTGTTATTTAGTAGCGCTTTGCCGAATATTCCATGCATTATCATGGAATCATTATCATTAATATTATAGTGACCGTTCGCAAAGACCCGCCTTTTTTAGTTACTGTGTGACAAGCCAGGCGGCTCTCACGAGTCACGCACATCATGTTCTAACGCAGTGAAAAAATACATCGCGGGGCAAAGACTAACGCGTAACGTTACACAATTGACTACGAGAGAGAGTTCAGAGCAGCTTACTGTTGATATAAAACAAAGTCTCAGCTTTCAAATATTGTAATTTAAATAATTTAAACAATACCGTTTTCAAGTTCAAGTCCACCGACGTTAATCTACTGACAGCTTTGTTGTCGGACAAAATTGCGTATTCGGCGTTTTGATTGGCCATGTCGCCTGTCAATCAAACCCCCGTGCAGGACAGGGCATGGTGAAATGAAACGTCACGTTTTAATTTAACATAATACATTTATTCTATATTTAACTTGTGAACGATCGACCTGCTGCTGCACATAGGCCTATAGATGGCTGCCTGGAGTGCCTGCGCCTTATTAGAATATAGCTACGCATGCATCAACCAATAAATCGCCTCCACCCTTCACTTCATCTAGAGTCTAGACTATTTTTTAAAACACAGCGTCATCGTCGACCCCACAAATTTTCGGTAAGTTTGATTATTAACTTGATGGATGTTTGATATTGCTTTTTGTGTTTGATCAAACTCTATATTCACCTAAAGGGCTGGCGATAATATATCCGGTAGAAATATGTAAATTTTGCTGAGACATCATGATGTAAGTTTATAAATTAAACGCGTTTTTAATCATTGTGGTTTGACTTTGGATACAAATTATTTTAAATGATGGTGAACTTGAGACGGTTTTGCACAGCGCACTTGAGTTCCGACCCTGAGGTCTTAAAGTGACAGTAGCTGCTAATAAAGCATTTGTCGCCATTTGTGTCCATAATCAAACATCAGAAAGAAAGTAATTTACTGCCCTTGAATGAATCACTTTTGTAAAAATTATTAAGAATGAATGTTGAATTTATAGTGAAAACTATGTATTGTATATTTGATTACTTTATACAATATAATATTATTCAGTGCTTTAAGTTTTTCAAGGTCGATTTATTATGTGCCTTTGTTCTATTGTTATTTGTGACTCTTGTCATCGGTAAGCTTGAGATTCTTTTCTTAAGTTACTATTATTTTTTGTGATATTAAAATTGGTCACAAGAATTATGAAATGTTAGTGCCATTAAATTTTGATATGATAAAAAATCGTTTTAAAAGTAATATAACTGAACTGTGAAGTATATCATAGATGGATAAAATGACTCGTATAATGATAGAACATTTAGCTCATGTAGTTGGTGACCTGTAGTGGTGGGGGGCCCTGCAGTAACTCATAGCCCCGGGGCCCAGTGAGCTCTTAATGCGGCCCTGTACGTGCGCACATGAAATGGAAGTTGCGATATCTTTTCTTTCCTATTGTGACGAGCGAAATGGCTTCTCAAACAAGAAAAAATGTAGGACAGGACTTGATTTTGACAGGTTGTCCCACCCTCGCACCAGTAAACACATCATCAGAGAAGATTAAAGATGAGATGTCGTTGCATGAGAGCGGCAGCTATTTTAATTCAAGATTACGAGGGGACGTGAATAAATAGTAACACGCACAAATAACTCATCTATAATAAATACTGCAATATTCCAATGAAATACTTGTTTTTTTAAAACGATTTATTTGTTTTAGTTTGAGTTTTTTATGATTTAATTAATTATCTTTTCATTGTCTCAAGAGCCCCCTGCAGTTCCTTCATGAACCCGTTTGGGATACAGTAAACGTTCATCAAAGTTCTGACACTATACCCTTCCGTTTCTCAGGTATCTGCCCTGTAAATCAAAACTCCATTGACTACCTCCTGTCTAGTAACGGTACTGGCAATGCTGTGGTCATCGTGATCGGAGGGGCTGCAGAATCCTTGGACTGTGCCCCGGGGATGAACGCCGTCACGCTGAAAAAACGCAAAGGCTTTGTGAAACTGGCCCTCAAGCATGGGTGAGAACCGCAAATCATTTTCCTCACCACCTTCCCAGTATTGTTTACTTCAGCACCAGTGGTTCAAATCGATCAATTTCAGTGTGCTGTTGAGGCTAGGTTTATGCTGGTAGTAGCTTGAGTTTTGCCTGAAGTTCTTAGTCCTCTGATGCTTTCAGTCCTTTTCAGGGGCGTCATGCAAGCCAAAATTCTGGGGGGGCACAATCTGAGATGTTGCAATTGTTTTCTGACGGGTGATATGGATCATGTTAGGAGGGGTCAGGGGATTTCTCCTCCTGAAATTTTTTAAATTCTGGCTGCTAAACATACCATTTCAATGCAGTTTGGGAGGGACAGAAATACCTTAACGGAGCTAGCAGCAACCCTCCTCTATCTGAGGACTAAGTTAAAGTATCTATTTTGTAAGTTTATGTAAAAGACAGGTTGATGAAAGAACTGTAAGCTCAAATTCAAAAGCTTTTGTAGTCTACTTCATTAAAGCATGTTTACACACACACTTACTGTACACTTAGGCCTACTACACATGATTTTAAAAACAGTACCATTGCAGTTTTTATGTTATGATTTTAAATTGGTATGTGACCTAAGAACGATCTTACATTAGAGGTACATAAAGGTGCTGAGGTCTGACTTTGTGGTGCTCTGAAATTAAGTTATTTTAATATTAATATGTGATGAAGGACTTTGAGAAGTTTGACAGATTTCAGTGCTGAATAAGGTTAACACTACCCCGTTTATTTGAAAATGGTTAATATTCGACAGAAATGTAAAAAAAGTAATCAAATCAAATGTAATATGTAACATTACTTTAGTAAAATCATTGAAATACTGTAGTTACACTGCTCATTATTATATTTTAATATATTCAGATATTATATTCAGATAACGTTACTATGACTTATAGGCTTTGTATGGCAGGCAGTAACGTTAGCCAACTAGTTTACGGTTAGACTAGGCTAGCTATCGATAACGTTACACTGACACAACTTAAGTTAATGCTCTGAATTCGTAGCTAATATCAAATCCATAACTTTTTGATCAAGTTAAACTTTCCAGGTCAACCACAAATAATCCCACTACCTATTAATATCATCCGATAACTAATTCAATGCCGATTTGTTGCTTTGCCCACTTACCACTTCAAGACCATCTGTAAAACATTGCCAGCTCAACGTGCGAGTTGCTTGAACATACACAGCAAAGATTCTAGAGCGCTACGCGCGTTTGATATAGATTTGATATACACAGACACCATATTAGGAAAAAGGGCCGGGCTGATGCTGACTGATTTATTACACATCCAGAAGAATACATTTGAGTCGTTATAGGCTCTGGTAATTATGAAGCATAATAGGAATAAAGTTGTGACAAAAAAAATTATCAGGGAGGAAAAATCTGAGGGGGCACGTGCCCCTCACTTTGAATGGGCATGATGCCACTGGTCCTGTTCAGGTTTTCTTGGTCATCATCAGTAAATGGCAGGGTTGTTGCAGGTGAAGCAACACAAAGCAGAACGTAGTTTGGAGTGAAGTATTAAGCCAGTATTTTGTAATCAGAAATGTGGAGAAACAACAAGAACTCTGCCAATATTTTTGTTCTGAATGGAACTACATCATTACAAAGCAATGTATAATAATACACTGAAAATCCCTAACTGTTCAAATCTCAAAGAAGCTTATAAGATAAGTGCTTTTGAATAAATTCCTAAAATATGACTTACCTCTCTCACAAGATTTTGTGAAAAAATTAAACTGATTCTTAAATTGATTATTGCATATTGTATTTTAATTTTAAAATGTGTATTTCTTTGTCATTATGATAACTTTTTAACTTCTTGTTCCCCTCTCAGTGCTGATCTGGTGCCCGTCTACTCATTTGGTGAGAATGAGGTTTACAAACAGCTGATTTTCAATGATGGTTCTTGGTGGCGTATGGTTCAAAAGAGGCTTCAGAAGATGTTAGGCTTTGCCCCGTGCCTGTTTCATGGTTGTGGACTGTTCTTCCCAGAGTCATGGGGTTTTGTACCTTACTGCAAACCCATCACTACTGTTGGTGAGTAACAGCACATTTGTCACCAAACAGATGTTTTATGGCCATATTTTCTCTAGGTAATCAAGATTTTTTTATGTTAGCCTTTTGTTAAATTACATAGAGTTTGATAGAGTAAATAAAATATAACAAATAAATATATACAGTTGTAATTTATTAAATTATCAACCCCCATTGCAAATCAGCTTTATTGGCAAAAATGACAGCTTTTTGCAATGAATAAATCAAACAAAAGTAATTTAAATTGCTTAACAAAACAATTGTTTCAAGTGCTTTCCCTAAATTCAAGTGAAAGTGCAATTTTTAATGACTTATGCAGTCTCAAAATTATATAACCCCCTGAATAGAATCCCTCACAACAGCACAAATCTGCAAAACAGGTTTTGTCTCAAGCACACCTGATGCAACTAATCAAGGGCTTCATTAGTTGGACCAGGTGTGCTTGAGCTAGAACACATTGGGTGTTTCTCAAAACCAAGAATGCCAAGAACGGACTTGTGTTCTTCGGGAGAAAGCTCTTGCTAGTTGTTCTTGGAAGAATGAACTCACAAGGTAACGAGCACACAGAACGCTGCTGACAGTTTGAGACTATGTGTTCTTGCTGGTATTGTGCAATAATACCCCCGCACAGACACCGTCTGCAGTGCCCAAACATAACGAGAATTATTGACGATAACAGCCAGGCTGCAATGGTCTCTTGACTGTGGGGTAAAATGAGTCTGTGAGCAAACTGGCCGGTTGGCTCGATAGCTAAGGCGCCTATGAAGATTCTCACCTCCGAAAACGTTTGAGCACATTTTCGATTAGCCATACATTTTCGTAAAAATGCCAATATTTGAAATCTACACAGTTGATTTCTCGCATCAAATGTTCTCAGAAGTGAATTTAGTGATGAAATAGTGTACGTAATTGTAGAAAAACGAATTACTGTATTGACCTGCCTCACCTTCCTCGAATGCCGAATTGAATGCTGGGATATTTCTGCCGTCAAGTTCACACAAGTTACCAACCGATGCATCCTCGGTAAAATGGGCGTGTCAAGAACACATCCGGGATTTTTAACCGTTCTTGCCAAAATGCAAACTTGTGTATTGGGACAGTACTTGGGCCACAAAAGATGACGTTTCATAAGAACACAAGGACACAAGTACAGACAAGAACACAGATTGAGAAAGGCCCATTAAATATCTGAACTGGCTGGGTTTGTTGAGTGTCACGTTTGACTGCCTCTTAGAAATAAGTCAAAAGAATGGTCCAAAAAGTTAAAGGTGCAATGTGTAACATTATTAGTATCTATTAACAGAAATGGAATATGACATCCATAACTATGTGTTCAGTGGTGTATAAAGAACTTACTTAATAAACCGTAATGTTTTTATTATCTTAGAATGAGGCATTTATATCTACATAGGCGCGGGAATCCCCTTCTATGAAGGTCGCCATATTGTGACGTCATGTTTCTACCGTAGCCGACAGCGAACAAACAGCGTTACAGAGCGCGTTTCGTCACTACCTTGAAAGAGAAGCCGCAGGAAGCTAGAAGAAGCTAGTCATAAACACCGTGAGTAGTGACTTTTCCCTTGTCAGTGGTGTAAATATGTAGTTGGATTGTTTCATGTAACTTAATTCTTCTCCCTCGCTGTGTTATGGCTTTGCTATGTGGGGATAAATGTGCTGGTTAAGTTCGTGAGACAGCTGATTAGTAGGCTACTCTTGTCATTGACCGTAAAACAGTTACAGGAATCACCAACCCGTCGATCTTGGAAGCATTTTAAGTCGATCGGGTTTCCAAAATCAGAGAAAAAAAGCCTATTGTGTGTAGTAAGTGGTGTCTAGGGGATGCGGAGGCGCGCGCGCTCTGTTACAATCACGTCATTTTTGCCGCACGCACCTTTGGGCTCATGCGGACGCGTCGAGTTTAAACAAGGCTTTACGCTTTAACCAGCTCAGCCACAGTAACAGCTCATATTAGCCAGCTAAACGTTTACTACCCTGTTAGAAAACATATATAGTTGCATAGTTTCATGTGGTTCTTCTCCCTCGCTGTATTATGGGTTTGCTATGTGGGGAGAAATGTGCTGGGTACATTCGTGAGAAAATCAGCTGATTACTATTATTATATTATGTATTAAGACCCTTGATCCTCACCTGAAACTTTATCCATGATGTGGTTTATAATGGACTGTGGTACAGAAACTTGGTTTACGCTGGCTATTCTCTGCTGTCTCAGACGGCGATGTTTGTCCCGTTTTAGCCACCGTAGCTTCTTAGAAAGGGAGGGGTGAGCGGTGGGCTGAGCCCTTAGTGTAAACTCGCAACCGAACCGCTAGATGTCATTAAAAGTCACACACTGCACCTTTAAGAGAAGATATAATCACCCAGGATACAAAAGTTCCAAGGAACAGGATACAAAATATAAGCGAAACAAGATCTGCGAAGACACTAAATGTTCCTAGAGACACCGTTGGAAGCATAGTTCGCAAGTTCAAAGTGTGGAAAGCAAGATGGATTTATTGAAGTATCAGGAAATACCAGGAGAAAACGTCATGCCGTCAAAGAGAAAGCTGAAGCTTGGGCGTCATTGGACCCTCCAACAGGACAATGATCCCTAGCATACCTGAAATTCCACCAAGGCTTGGTTGCAGAAGAAGTCCTGGAAGATTCTACAGTGGCCATCACAGTCACCTGACTTGAACCCCATAGAAAATATCTGGTGGGATTTGAAGAAGGCGGTTGCAAACCCTAGAATATTACTGAACTGGAGGCCATCGCTCATGAGGAATGGGCTAAGATGCCAGAAGCTGGTGTCTGTTTATACATCCCGTTTGCAGCAGGTCAACAGCAAAAGGGTGTTCTTCTAAGTACTAAAGATGCTTGCCATAAAGGGGATGAATAATTATGAGATTGCAGAAGTCATTAAAAGTTGCATTTTCAGTTGAATTTGGGGAAACAAACAACTTGTTGTGTTGAGCTATTTCAATTACTTTTGTTTGATTTGTTCATTGCAAACAGTGGAAACTCTGTAAATTTTGCCAATAAGCCTGATTTTGCAATGGGGGTTGAATAATTTTGATTACAACTACAGTGTATGTATATATACATTATACATATTTATTTATTTACAGGTTTAATGCTGGTATTTAAATAGAATTAATGTGTATATTTATATTTGAATTGTACTAGATATTCTACTTATTCTATGGGTTATGCATGGGTTATAAAGAGACATACCTAAAATAGTTTTATACAGTTCAAGGACAGTCTCTATGTTGATAGAACTGCTCTTTCAGCTTACGGTCGATATTTGCTGACATCAGAATCCCATTAATGGTTAAAAATTTAGACATTTGTTGACATGAACTTGGTTTAACTAGCGTTTAATGCTCTGTGAATGAACTTTTTAAAAAAATGTCTCTCTTCTACAGTTGGTGAACCCATCACAGTTCCAAAAATCGAGGAGCCGAGTCAGGACGTCATAGATATGTACCATGCTATGTACATCAGGTCCCTCAAGTCTCTCTTTGACAATTACAAGGCTCGTTTTGGTCTAAATGAGAGTGACATCCTTCTAATTCAATGAAAGAATGCATTGAGGAATAGTAATAACTTTATAAAAGAACACTCTGGAACATCCGCCCCCTAACTAAAGTGCCTGTTCAGAGAAGGTGAAAGAAATCAATGCGGTTTCTATTCATTCAATAGTGTAAACAGTACTGAAATGTACTGTTCTACATGGGATGCAGGGAATCTAGCCTGTGTCACTTCTGCTCATCGCCACTGGGTGGCAATCCACAATAAATACTTTGCAGACTGCTGCCAAGTATAATCTAGATTTCTCAGATGGTGGATGTATATTCCTCAATATATGGCAATATATATATTACAAGTAATGTATTAAATATTTAATTTAAATGCTGTACTAGATAAAAGTGTTTGCCCCATTATATTATTTTTAATGCACAAGCAATGCAATTATTGGGAGTTTTGCCTTACTAAAAAGCCAAAGGGTGGTTGTGTAACCAAAGAGTGGAGGTGGATTTTGGCCTTGTGTTATATAGCAACTAACCAAAAAGGAAAATTGTGACTCAATTGTTGGAATAATACGTCAGAATGAAGGACAGGAAATTGTGCTTTTAAGAAAATGATCCCTTATTAATCATAGCTCTAAGGTTAAAGTGAAGTCTAGGAGGTGAAGCTGATAATGAATGTTTGTAAATGTGTGATGGTACAGTATTATCAGAATACTAATGAATGCTGGTTATTTTTCTGTAACACTTTATAATTTACCACCGAAGTATTAATTTTGCATATATACAGTAAGTTGCACATACATGCTTTGTTAAGCTCAAGCAAATCGTTTACCTACTGAGTTTGCAGCCCTGAAATAAGATCAGTTTTCACCATAAATCCTTACATGACATCAACATTTGTTCCAGTTACAAGTATCAGGTCATTATTCCAAAAGCAAATGCTTGAAAGACTTCAAACATGTGTTTGCATGCCAAATCAAACAAGCCTGAATTCAAGTGCCAAGATGTATGTACATGTATGCAATCATATTTGAGAGAATACATTTTTTATTGTGATCTTGTATTTAAATGGATTCAGGGGACCTGCAGCTCTTGATTGGTGGATAATAAGCAATACATGCTGACATTTAACCAAGGATCGTGACTTATCTATCGCCTTTTAAGTTGTGAATATGCAATATATTCTGCAGTGTCCATCTCTGATATCAGCCTTCATTTATGTACATGAAATCCTGATTCTTTGAATTAAACTTTTGTATATTTTCAGAATAAACGTTTATGGAAAAGTACCATGTACTGTCTTGTTTTGAGCCACAACACTGTCTTTGAATGACACATAACAGCAAATGTTCTCTTATTCCTGTTTTAAAACCCAGCCTTGGTTATTTTTTTTATCAGAGATTTATGCAACAGTTCCAGGTTATTAGTTCAAAGTCGATGGGTCATGTAAGATAGTTCTTTAAATTAATCAATAAGGCTGTATGGCCAAATCAGTATTCTCTTCACAAATTAAACATAATAAATGTTTGTTTTATGTTTGTAAAAATTAAAATATGCATTTAATAAACCAAATAACACATTGCAATTCACAGTCACAGAAAACCCCAGGATATGTTTAAGGTAGGGTACATTATAGGATTTATTACAGCATGTAAAGTCTCAAGATATATTAATAAAGCAACACATGTCCCTACACTAGTGTACCACTTTTGTAGGGCACAAAAGTGTTACTGTCTGGGACTTATTTGATTGGCTTAAAGTGAGGTGGGGCACATAGCCATGAATGAAAGATTTTGAATTATTTATCTAGGTAACTAATTGTTTACTTTTTATGTTAAATATTTATTTCACAAATGTAATAAACTGAGGCCTTAAAATTATGATCTAGGAAAGGTCTAGGACAATGCTTCATTTCATTTTCACATCAAATTTATTTTTTAAGGAGGAAGGAAAAGTTTATAATTTGGCTTATTGTTAAAGTTGGGCAATGGCGCCCCCTTGTGCTTCATGGACACTTCTACTTCATGTAATAATAACACTAATAACAATGATAATACTAATACTAATAAAAGTTATATATTGATTATTAATAAAAGTTATATATCGATTCCTTAATTTGTAGTAATTTATTTTTAAAAAACATCTTTGTTCAGCGCACTACACTTTTGTCGTTTAATAAGTACGTGGAACAGGCCCGTTTGTTGCACATTATTTTATGCTAGTATCAATGCAATGCTGCTCACCCAGAAAGAATAAACGGTCTTCATGCAGCGGTCCTAGTCACGTTACCCTCGCTTCCTCATTTTTGTACGAACTAGTGCACAGCATGAGTTTCTAAAGGCCTCCTCCCGCCCTTTTCCATTTGATTGACAAGCTCTACACCAATCAACGTAGAATACCCATTTACGTCACCAAGTTTCTGTTTTAGTGACAGCTTCCTCAGCAAATAGGCACGAAGCGAGGGTTTGACGATCAAGGTCGCGGTAATGGCTTCCTAGGCAAGACTACTTTGTTTATGCCGCCGTGTGGACCCTAGTAGCTGTGTTTAGTGTGCTTAATGTACATTATAATACAAACCTGCACGTTTTTGAAGAAAGCTCAGAATCTGACACCTTCGTACCGCGAGTTTCTCGCCGATGGGGCTGAGTTGTATGGCTGAATGAGGCTATCGCCTATGATAGCGTAGAAGGATGAACTCAATCGCCGGTCGGGATCTCTCAGTGTCCGCTGGAGCTGTCAGCAGCAACCCCGGAGCAGCGTCCTCCAGAGTCCTGCATGTGGAGCTCACATCACAACAGGTAAGTTACACCTGCAGCTTCCAGCCTAATGTACCATATGTGCGCGCGAATATCTAGCGGATCTTCTTGTGCATGTGTCACATGTCACCAGATGATCATAACACTGGGCCTCCATGTCCAGTCAAGCTCTGGTCCACATTTATGACTGCAGTGGGGTTTGAAATAGACATTTCGGAAGCAACTAATAAGACTGTGTTAATAATAAAGCGCTGGCTTGTTCATGTTAGAAATACCAGAGCGGTTTCACAGTGTAGTGTAGTCTTGTCACTGTGGGTCTCCAAACTCAAAACACATTTACAAAATAGACCAGACAGCTTCCTATTATTTATTATTCATGCTTAAAATACTTTGAAACTGGCTAGGAAGGTAGTGGTGGTGCTGTCTTATGGAGTGAGCTGTGCTTATCTCATTTACACTGCAGCTTGACAGCACTGACTTAAATGACTATAAATGATGTCATACTTACACATTGGCAAACATTGTTTGGGGGCTCTACAAAGAAAAACCCTTGTTATCAATGTTTGGTTCATTTGGTTACATGTTACAGTCTATTATTGACATTTTACTGGTTTATCTATAAAAAACAAACAAAACAAAAAAAAACAGTTATTTTTGTTGATAGTATGTATTTTAATTTTTTAGTTTATATTAACATACCTTTTTATTAAAAAGTCTTTGCAAATAAGGGTTTAAGGATTTTAAAATTGCATATAGTGTATTGTTGATGTAATGCTTGAGATGTAAGAGAGTAGTTGTGATTGTGTGTGTGTTGTAACAATTGCAATGGTGCAATGTTGCACAATACACATAGTGCACATACATGCCCTGAACCTGTCCTAACTGAGATTGTAGACCTCAGTTTTGTGGAAGGATAGTCATGTCCTGCAGCAATCGTCTGTTTAATCACCACTAGTTCCCATGAAGTGTTTTGGGGATCGGAGGGTTTCCTGTTAAATAGTGTCCGTTGATGACTTGGCATTCTATGCAGAGAAATGTTGCATTACTTAATGCCACAAACATGGGGCTGGAGTTATGTTAAGAGTGGTTTCTTGCTGGAAGAACTCACTCTGAATCTTTGCTATATAATATAATACATCATATTAAATATTTAAATTTAAGTTACTTTTTTTTTTGGATACTGGTATAAACTGCAGCACATGAAAATATACTAATGGCAATGTGAATATTCTAAATCTAATATTGCCATTAGTATATTCCCGTGTCCTGCTGCAATATATACCAGTAATATTGATGCTGTCAAATGCAGGTATAGAAAGATGCTCGTAATCACTGTATGTTTTGACGGCTTCATGCAGAGTTGTATGATTAATTAAAATAAAACCGAAATTGTGATATGGACTCAAACACAACATGTACCAAACATGCAACACCTTGTAAAGAAAAGCAGTTATAACTGCCTGTTGTAAAACAAAAGAAAACTTTAAAGGCATTCATATTAATATTGTATTTTTACAGTTGTACTGCAAAATAAAATAAAAATTATTATACTATTTTTTAAAATAATTTTATAATAATAAATACTATTATTATTATTATCATTACTATTATTATTTTATAATCATTGATATGTAGTCAAATCTTTTGATCAAATTGGGCAGACTTACAAACAAGCACAATAAACTGAACTTTTTTTTTTACAATCAATCTTTTATCAGAAATAAATAAACATTCTCATTGTTGAGAGCATCTGATAGGACAAAAGTCTATAGTGCAAGATGAGTCATCAGTATATATTTAGTCCATTTACAAGAAAAATTGTCATCTTCACCCTTTATTCAAATATTATTAAATATTTGTTAAAGACTTTGTAAGCATATTGCGTAGTTGTGCTTAATTGGAGTCAATTGTTTTATTTGTTATAATGCAATGAAGCATGCCAAATTGTGTGGACATAATTTTTGGCCAGGCTTTCATACAAAAGAAGTATGAACGCATGCAAAAACAAGAGAGGACCTATACGAAAAATTAATAACTGGTTGTGTAGCTGTAATTTGCCTCTTTTTGCCAAATCAGATAAATACCATAACCAAGTTTAGTTTTTTCTTCAATCATATTTTAAATAAATATAAAACAATTTACTCATATTTGATGGTTTAATCGAACTTCTAGGGTCATTAACATCCCATATGAACATTGCTTTTGGACACTATTGTATACAAGTTAATTTTACTAAATTTTACATGTAAACTAGCAAAGAAATGGTTTCAAACCTAGTAGACTTGAGTTAAAGGTGCAATAGGTGTTTCTCTACAGAAACATTTTTATTATGCTGGTTGAAGTCTTGAAATCACCATGTTAAGCGATCTAAATGTATTTTTTATAAATATATATCATCTGTGGAAGGGATAGGAGCATAAAATGTTCGTTCAATCATTGCGTTCGGTTCGAATGAAATGAAATGTTTGCCCTGTCAGTCAGCGTGTTTGCATACCACTGCGCAGCCTGTTCACGCAGACATCATACGTCATCAGCGCATTTCACGTAAGCTGTGCAGACAGAGCGAGAATGGCAGGCAAATAGTTGTTTACGTTCATTATTGTAGTACTGTTACTCACTGTAGCTACTGTAAAGTTTTCTAACTGGCGAATGACTCATGATGTAATCCAATAACGCCGTCTCGAGGAGGCGTGGCTTTGGACGGCGATTTGCAGGGAGGGTGGGTTCATATGCTTTCAATGCTAGCAGGCTAAAGTTAGCATTTCCCAGATCACCTATTGCACCTTTAAATGCCAAAGTCTTTCTTATGATGGTGATCTCCGGTGGCCTGTTGCATGAAGCTGAACAAACTCTTTGAGTTTCAGAGTAGGTTTAGAATAGAGAAAACCATACGAATCAAACCTGGTTTAGATCAGGTTCATCAGGCTCACAACCCTCAATATAAACGTCCTCTGTCAACTCCGGTTTGATCCAGAGTTTGTGATTAACTCTGAAGACCAGAGTTTGCTCAAACTAATCTCATACCTGACCGGCGGCTTCGTGCAACGGGCCTCAGTTCTGCTTTTGTTAAAAATGGCATGATTTTTATCAGAAACACTGAAATGTGAAACCAAATGTGAAGTCCCTATCACATGATGGGGGTTGTTAGAGCTTGTCACACCTGTCTGAGGTTTATTTTTCTGGAAATGGTTGTTATGACACCAGTTTCTTTGGCAGTTACACCGTCACTTGTGACACTCTTATTGCCTGAGGCAAAGTCTTAAAGGACCACTGTTATATGGACTACAGATAACCTCGCTCACACCCTTGAACACCATTCATTTGTTTTCTTGCAGAAGAGCATTTTTTTTGTTCAATGTGATATGATTTATCAAATTTAGAATGAAATCATGCTTGATGTTTCGGTTTCATTTTAGCTGTTTGAAACAGCTGCAAAGTGCAAACTGCCTAATAAGGGAAAATGGATCGTATGCTAGCTTGTTTGTTCCTGTGCTAATTCCGTTAACCTACTAAAATTTACCATTCAACCTCTCCGTTTCATAGTCTGGGACAAACTGACCCTGGATATTCCTCAGTGTTTTGTTGTCTGAAAAAAGACAGAAATGGGGGGGAAAAACTGAACAAAGTGGGGTGTTGTTCCTGTAGCTTCAATAATCCTGTGGGGCCATCCCATGACTTAGATTTAGTATTTAATGCCTCACGGTCGGCACTGGAAATTCTTTGTGGCTGGTTGTGATGAAAGCTGGTCAGGTGAAGACTTTAGTGTGCTGAACTCTCAGATTAAGCGTTTCATTGAAACGGCTGTGGCCCTGTGCCTTAAATCTGGCCCTTGTGAATGGTAACTCTGGACTTTCTCTCCATCTCATTTTGTGTAGATTAGGATCACAAGGTTGACGACGTATCTGTTATTTATTTTTAACTTTTAGTTTTTTTGTTCTTTTTGTAGTAGAGGTATTTAATTATTGTGCTGACAGCACCCTGTACTTTACACAAGGGTTTTTAATGCCACAGAATCAAATTCTCTGTCTTCATTATTTTACCATCTCTGTTTAACAGTTCTGTCTAATAAATGATTAGATAGAACTGTTAAAGAAAGAAAGTAAATGAAAAAGTATTATAGTATTTGCTTTTCTTTTATTATAGAATAGCAAATGCTATAATACTTTATGATCTACCGTCAGCATTCATTAAATAAGCATTTATTGCAAGTCTTTGAATAACTAATACACATTTAAAGGGATAGTTCACCCAAAAATGCATATTTTGTCCATATTTCACCCTCAAGTTGTTCCAAACCTGCACAAGTTTCTTTTTTCTGTTACACAAAAAAGATATTTTGAAAGATATTTGGGTCAACCGAGGGTGAGTAAATGATGACAGAATTTATACCTAATACCTATACCTTTAATTTCACTTTGGCAAATCCAGCTTTGAGATCTTTTGAAGTGCATAACTAGCCTGCATAAAAATGTGTTCTGTGTGTAACAGTGGTCCATGCGAATCGGATGCGGATAGGAGAGTTCAGCTTTTATTAGACACACACAATCAACAAACTTTAAAACCTTGATTTCATGGCATGCTATGCTGCGTTATATCCAGTTGGCCACTATGTTGCATTAATGTCATATTCAGGGTGTGCTGTATGTAAAATTAGTGCTATCTTGTATTTATTTGAAAATATATTATATTCCCAGTGCAGACAGACATACCAGATTACCGTGTGCATTGTTGGCTACAGTGTTTACTTTCTTTTTATTCCTATTTTTTTCTTTAAGGATTTCTTTATTTGTGAAAAATACTGTAATAGGATTACAGAATTAAGAAGTTGCCATCTAAAGTATAAAGCTGTTTATTTTACAGATTTTTTTTATCAAGTTCAATTTTTTTCATGTTCATTTTCAAATTATTTATTTCTAATTTAGTAAATAAATATAATGTAAAATTAAACATACATTTCATTTCAGCAATTGCTGCATGTGTTGTTTTTACTATCTTTATATCATGTATCGGCTTTACATCAGCCATCTGCCACCCTGCTCTCTATGATATTAGCATTGAAAATATGTATGATAAATTAGAATGAATTAATTGATTAATCTTATAGGTTTTTGTCCAGTGTTTTTTGTGCCATTAGCGGCAAGTTGTAACGGCCTCCTAGGAAATGTGAACCCAAAACCTGTTAAATTACACAAGACTTTTTAAAACTCTCTTAAAACTCATCTTTGATCACCAAAATTACATATTTAAAAGTTTGTTCCTTGGAAAAAAAAATTCTTTATGCCTTAAAATAGCTTGAATGTAACTCTACACCCTTGTCTCATTTAGTATACGTGGTTCTATGAATATGCAAATTAGCCCCTCCTCCACTCACTCGCACCAGCTCAGAGATCCACTCGTTGACATGATTGGTTACAAGGTAGTTTGTTACGTCAGAAACACCAGCGATTTCAAACCGCGTTTTTGAGACTGTCTTTGGTTCACTGCAGTTTTAAGGAGAAAATACTCAGCAATGGTGTTGACTTATGAATTTGTACATGGTTTATCTTAAAGCACATCAAAAGCACCACATAGACATATAAACAACATTAAAAGCTTGATTTACACCACAGGGGTACTGTAAGAATTAGTGGACTGGCAACATCCCTTCTGCGATCATATCGTAGGCCTTTCTTGTTATCTTCTTTTTAACCAAAACTCTTTCCATGCCTACCGACTCCTTTTTTTCCCCTTGGCTCCTTCAAAGCAGTGGATTTGTGCCCAATGTGCAGCAGTGATGCCATGTTTCGGTCAGGGTCGAGGACTTGGATTTATAATGACGTGACATGAGACTCACAATGATGTTTTGTGCCTGTGTGTTGGTCTGTTCCTGTTCACTGTTGCTTGTGATGGAAAATGGAGAACAGCAAAACATTCAGAATTTAGCGCGTTCAAGATCCAGGACATGACATCACCTATTAAAAAAAAAAATCTTTAGAAATTTCTGAGATATGTCATGATGTATTCCCAATTGCCGCTTAAATGGCCCTCTCACAAACCATCGTACACGCATTACTTTGAAAGATTAAATCTTTACTGTTTGATTACATGAAAGTGTGTTCCCGATGAGTACGCATAGGGCTGATGATGTACAGCTTTTAAAAGTAGTAAAGTAAAAATAAAATTGAATTTGAAAGGCATCTTTAAAAAAAATTTTATTGTCTTTCTCACTAAATGTCTTTCTCTCTTTGTCCCAACAGAGGCGTTTACGTCACTTGCGGAGCATAGCGGCTCGTAACATTGTGAACAAGAATGGCTCTCCTCTGCTTGACACTTACTTCAGCCTTCACCTCTGCCAGGAAGAACGGATATCACGAGGTGACTGATGCTAGCTGAGCTTGCTGGTACTCTCTGACTGTTCGCTTAATTTAGTACTTAAAGCTGCAGTGCGTAATTTCTGTGTCATAAGTGACACCAAACAAAATCGCAGAAAGTGACTGTTTTACTTTTCTTTTCCAAACATTCACCCTGTCTTCCACATCAAGGAGATGGCCCCACCCCTAAAGTCACGCTATTGGTTGAGCTGTTGTCGGGCTGGTCGGACTGCTCAAATAAACAGTACAATGTTTTGATAGCAACTTAGTATTTACACTTCACACGTTCTGGGACATCAACCTACGATTTGTGTACTTGGTTATTTCTGTGTATTTTGCAGTTGGATATTAAAAGCCAACAGTTATGCAAAGCAGCTTTAAACTAATGAGAATTTTAACTCTTTAAATGAATGGTCTGTATATAGTAATAATTTTCACAATATACCCTTTCCCTTCCCTTATGGATAGTAATGTAGTAAAAGCTGGGCTGGTTGTAGTTTTTGTGGAATTGACTTTTTTAGCATTTTTTTTGAAATAGAAATCTTTTGTAACATTACAAGTGTCTTTACTGTCACTTTTGATCAAATTAATGTGTCCTTGCTGAATAAACATATTCATTTCTTTAAAAAAAAACGATTGAATTTTAGTGTGTAAGTCACTCTGATTTAAAAGCTTTTGTATGACTTCTAACTTGCTTCTTTTCCTTTTCCAGATTTTTATAAGAGTGAAGTCATCCGAGACTCATTGGTGAGTGCTTTTATTTTCATTGGTGTTTGGTCATGCGATTAAATGCTTATTATTTAAAATTTGTGAAATGGTAGACGGAGCACAGCATATCATAGCTTAGTAGCGTGGTGTAGGTTAACATGTTATAGCGTTGCATATCAGCATTGTCTCCTCTGGAATTATGTTGATCTACTGGAGGATAATAAAAGTGAATGTGTTTTGGTTTATTCACTAATATCTTTTAAAGGGATACTCCACCCAAAAATGAAAATTCTGTCATCATTTACTCACCCTCAAGTTGTTTCAAACCTGTATGAGTTTCTTTCTTCTGCTGAACACAAAGGAAGATATTTTGAAGAACGATTGGAACCAAACGGTTGTTTGGCACCATTGACTTCCATAGTAGAAAAAAAAAAAAATACTATGGAAGTCAATGGTGCCAAAGGTCCAATCATTCTTCAAAATATCTTCCTTTGTGTTCAGCAGAAGAAAGAAACTCATACAGGTTTGCAACAACTTGAGGGTGAGTAAATGATGACAGAATGTTCATTTTTGGGTGGACTATCCCTTTAAGCCTTATGGGACTGTTGAAAAATTAGCAATGGTAGCAAAAGCTTTCATAGTTAATTTATTAATGTTAAACCATAATAAATATGGGATCTTTGAACAGTTTAAAACACACTCAGAATCTTTCTGTCATATTTATTTTGTCATTTTATCTTAATTATCAATATTTGTAGATGCCTTTGGCAGAAATTTTGGTTACCATAGACATTTTAAAGTGAATTGGTTAAATGATTAATTGTATCTTAAAGATGAGGTATGTAATTATTTTATGCTAAAATACAAAGAACTTTAAAGATTATGGCTTTGTGGTTACAACCAATGTTGCGAGTTTGGGCGTGGAACTATCTGTTTGACCAATCAATTGCAGATGGGGATATATATGGGAAAAAGTAATTTTTTGGTGCTGGTAGTGCAGAAATTACACACTTCACCTATACATTTTATTGCAGACATCAACAACAGGTGCCATGATATTTAGTCACAATAAGAGTTGTAATCATGCTAAAAGAAGACTGACCTAGAGTAGACCTGGCAGTGTATGTGAAAAGGCAGTGTCCTCAAAACCAAAAGCATCAGGACTTCATCTTTAGACATATGTGACCCTGGAGCACAAAACCAGTCACAAGTAGTACAGGTATATTTGTGGCAATACCCAACAATACATTGTATGGGTCAAAATTATCGATTTTTCTTTTATGCCAAAAATCATTAGGCTATTAAGTAAAGATCATGTTCCATGAAGATATTTTGTAAATTTCCTACTGTAAATATATAAAACATATTTATTTTTTGTGAGTGAATGCAGCACAATTGCGAACATAAATGGACAACTTTAAAGGTGATTTTCTCAATGTTTCGATTTTTTTGCACCCTCAGATTCCAGATTTTCAAATAGTTGTATCTCGGCCAAATATTGTCATACCCTAACAAAACTTACATCTAGAGAAAGTTTATTAATTTAGCTTTCAGATGATATATAATTCACAATTTCTAATAATTGACCCATGTGACTGGTTTTGTGGTCCACAAATGGCAAATCTACCCTCTCACCTACACAAAAAGGCATTGCTACGGCTCCCAGCAGCACTGCGTCATTTACTGATATAAAACAGGTTTGCTAAATTTACTTTTTTGGGGGTCACACCGGCAACCTTTTACTTTTGAAACAATTCCTTATTTTAGTTTGCCAAGAAGGCCTTACTAGCCACTAGATGTGGCTTCCTTAATTGACGATTGGAAAGCGGTTTAATGAGCGTGTGGTCACTCTGTCCAAGCCTGTAATTCTGTTGAAAAACATTGACGCATGGCAACTGCTAAAGAATGAAGAGAATAATAGCACAACACCCAAAATCAAATGATCGTCAGTAATGTGATTTATATAGACATGATTAAAGGCTCTGTTCTTTTCCGTTATTCTGACTGTAATGGACGTTTTGATGATAATAGTGATGATTTGAAATATTGTTGGCTATGAATACTGTATTTATTAGTGTTTTCACATGAGATGACACACCCTCAAAGACAAGTTTATGGAGGGCTGTTCTTTCTATTTATGGAGTAGGCAGAGCTGTATTGAATGCAGTTGTTTATTATTAATTTACAAATCGATGATCATGTAAGTGTACTATAATGGAGAGTGGTCTGTAATTTAGTTTATTTTCTCTTATTTGCTCAATGTTATTAGAGAAAATAAAAGACATCTATATCGTCATTACAGCAATCATAATTACAGCAGTTTTGACAATCAGACACACAGCCTATTTAGAGATTGACACACGGTATCTTTGACCGTGATGAATTGATTAAAAGCTCTGATTCACTGATTCATTAGCATCATCATCACTCAAAATGTGAAGTGTCCATGTGGCAGTAATCGCAATAACGTTTTAGAAAAAATATGTAGTTAAATATAGCTTTTATTACTATATATTGTCATATTGATTCATTTTTTATTATTTAGTCTAAAAGTATTTCTATATATATATATATATATATATATACACTACCGTTCAAAAGTTTGGGGTCGGTACGATTTTAAATACTTTTAAAAGAATTCTCTTCTGCTAACCATGGCTGCGCTTATTTGATTAAAAATACAACAAAATTATTATTCCAGTGTAAATCAGCTGTTTTCTGTGTGAATATATAGTAAAGTGTAATTTATTCCTGTGATCAAAGCTGAATTTTCAGCATCACCAGTGTCAGTGTCTTCAGTGTCAAATGATCCTTTACAAATCAGTATAATATGAGGATTTGATGCTCAAGAAACATTTATTATTATTATCAATGTTGAAACAGTTGTTGGTCTGTCAGTTGTACAGTTTTTTTTTTTTTTGGATTCTTTGATGAATAGGGTTAGGGTTAGAATCTTTTGTAACATTAAAAATGTCTTTACTGTCACTTTCGATCAAATTAATTATTCCTTGATAAATAAAAGTATTGATTTCTTTCCTCCAAAAAATAAAAATAAAATTCTCACTGACCCCAAACTTTTGAACGGTAGTGTATATATATATATATATATATATATATATATATATATATACGGTACTTATTTATACAAACAAAGTCTATATACAGAGTCCACACCCACCCACACACACACACACACACACACACACACGGTTTCACAGACAAAGCTTAAGGCTATTCCCAGACTAAAATACATGTTTGAGCTGTTTTACCTGAAAATAACTTGCAATGACATATCTTAAAAAATGTCAGTGCCATTGTTTTGTCTCAAGATGCACACCAGTAATGTCTTTGTGTGGAAGGTATTTTTATAAAATCTGCTTAAATATGCTAATTTAACTAAGGCCTAGTCCTTGCTTAAGCTAAGCCCTGTCTTTGAAACCGGGCCATCTTTTGTGAATTAATAAATATCATCCATTCATCCATATATATGAATATATATGTGTGTTGTATGTGTAATATGTAAATGTATATATGTATAATATGTGTATTGAAACATGCTAAAAATCTTACAAATACTATTTTAATGAGCTCAATGTAACTACTGTTTTGTCAGAAACACAACATTTTTTTTTCTTTAACCTCTAACCTTCTTGCCCCTCTCTGCCTCCTTTTTTGTTTCTTCATTTCCCTTCCTCTCTGGCCTTCTTGTACGTCCTTCCGGTCTTTCATGTAATCATGCCTTCATTTCAGCCCCTCTGGTGGTCATGTTGATGGCTGTTTTCAGTGTTTTGTATTTATTTCTGCTGACCTAGTCACTGCGATGGTGGTTTTGTCAGCTGCACATCCTCTTGGAGAAAGACCCTCTTTAGCCTCCAGACTGCATGACGGGACAGTTTTGCAAATCTGTTTCTGCTGTTAGTCTTTGAAAGCTTGGCTTACTGCGTCATTGACCACACTTATGCATTAATCGATATGTCTAACAGCCTTAATTGCTGGTCTATTTGATCATATATTGGCTGCATTTTTGGCTGTATTATTTTATTAATGTCCAGGCAAGATCTGCTAGCAGAGATGTTACTCACAAAGTACCCTGCAGGGTCGAAAATTAACACTGCCATCCGCACGCACGCACGCACTTTATTTACATTACAACGTGAGGTACACAAAGGTAACACTACATTACAACGTGAGGTAGACAAAGCTGCGCTCTTGAGAAAACTCTGCAATGAATCTTTTATTGACAGCTTTGTTGGTTATAATCGAAGGTTTCGCGTTTTGAGCAGATGTCTGACTGGCCATTGCGTTCACACGCTTAACAGATATGTCAGTGATTGGCTACAAAGCTAAACGCTCTGAAAATGGTAAAAATAAATGCATTTTAAAGCAGCTGGCTATAAACCCTGTTCATATTTTTTTGCTTGTATATTTTTCAGAACCCGACATGGCGAAGCTTAGATTTTGCCATGCTGCCGGACCTCTTGGACATGTCTGTGTCGTGTTTTGTGGTGAGAATATGGGGTGGGAGGGAAGAACAATACCAACTGCTTATTGAGTGGAAGGTCAACCTAGATGGGCTCAGATACACAGGACAACAGGTGAGTAGTCAAAATGTATTATATATCTCTTGCTTTCCTTTTTCTATTCTCTATCAAGTATATGTTGCTTTTCTTTTATGACCATCTAGTTTCCTGAAGTGTTTTGTTCTAAGATTTAATTGAAGTTTTATGAGGGAAAATAAATGTAAATATGTTTCGAATTCTTGAGTAACATTCCAAGTACAATATGTATAAAATCATACAACACTTTTATGTTTATAATTGTAGTAGCAATTATAATTATAATATTTATTATTATATTACACTGTACAAAAATAGCAGTAGAAAAACAGAAAAGGTATTTTCTGCAGAAAAGTTAACGGACATACACTCACCGGCCACTTTATTAGGTACACCTGTCCAACTGCTCGTTAACACTTAATTTCTAAGCAGCCAATCACATGGCGGCAACTCAGTGCATTTAGGCATGTAGACATGGTCAAGACAATCTCCTGCAGTTCAAACCGAGCATCAGTATGGGGAAGAAAGTTGATTTGAGTGACTTTGAACGTGGCATGATTGTTGGTGCCAGAAGGGCTGGTCTGAGTATTTCAGAAACTGCTAATCTACTGGGATTTTCACGCACAACCATCTCTAGGGTTTACAGAGAATGGTCCGAAAAAGAAAAAACATCCAGTGAGCGGCAGTTCTGTGGGCGGAAATGCCTTGTTGATGCCAGAGGTCAGAGGAGAATGGCCAGACTGGTTCGAGCTGATAGAAGGGCAACAGTGACTGAAATAACCACTCGTTACAACCGAGGTATGCAGCAAAGCATTTGTGAAGCCACAACACGCACAACCTTGAGGCGGATGGGCTACAACAGCAGAAGACTCCACCGGGTACCACTCATCTCCACTACAAATAGGAAAAAGAGGCTACAATTTGCAAGAGCTCACCAAAATTGAACAGTTGAAGACTGGAAAAATGCTGCCTGGTCTGATGAGTCTCGATTTCTGTTGAGACATTCAGATGTTAGAGTCAGAATTTGGCATAAACAGAATGAGAACATGGAACCATCATGCCTTGTTACCACTGTGCAGGCTGGTGGTGGTGGTGTAATGGTGTGGGGGATGTTTTCCTGGCACACTTTAGGCCCCTTAGTGCCAATTGGGCATCGTTTAAATGCCACGGCCTACCTGAGCATTGTTTCTGACCATGTCCATCCCTTTATGGCCACCATGTACCCATCCTCTGATGGCTACTTCCACCATGTCACAAAGCTCGAATCATTTCAAATTGGTTTCTTGAACATGACAATGAGTTCACTGTACTAAAATGGCCTCCACAGTCACCAGATCTCAACCCAATAGAGCATCTTTGGGATGTGGTGGAACGGGAGATTCGCATCATGGATGTGTAGCCGACAAATCTGCGGCAACTGTGTGATGCCATCATGTCAATATGGACCAAACTCCCTGAGGAATGCTTCCAGCACCTTGTTGAATCTATGCCACGAAGAATTGAGGCAGTTCTGAAGGCAAAAGGGGGTCCAACCCGTTACTAGCATGGGGTACCTAATAAAGTGGCCGGTGAGTGTATGTTCTTAAACCCTAAAACACAACGCAATGCATAATTCAAAATATGGGTAAAACACCTGTGAAAAATCAAAATGGAAAATTCCTTCATGTACATTGGGTCCTATTTTTACAAATTATTATTATTATTTTTATATATAATTAATATATATAATTCTGTAAATTCTGCTTCAGGTTCACATCACATCCCAAAAATCCTTTAACACTTCTCTTTTCTCTCCATCTCTTTTCTTTCAGATTCGCTCCAGAAATCCAAATGAGATCATCTTTGGACTGAACGATGGCTACTATGCAGCTGAGTTTGATCAGAAGGTATTGTTCAAACTTTGGAATGGGTTCCAAAATAAATTCCAGGCTATCTTCAAACCTTGTCATCTATCAGAGCTCGAATTCACTTCTATCTCTTGGGTTTTTCAACCTGTAGAATCTTTCAGATGGTAAGAAGAAACTCTTTGTGAAGCTCATGGACTGTTCTCTTTCCCACAGGAGAATTCTGACAAGAAGAAGAACAGTTTGCTCCAGGTGGACCAGAGCTCTGTCAGAAACTCCTACAGTGTTTTCTCTTTACTGAGGTGAGAGAAGACTCAATGGAACATATCATGGACAAAAGGCCTTTTTACCTTTTATTTTACTTTAACATTCACAACTCAATGCAATGCAATCAAATCAAATCCTATAAAAGTGTAGAGTATGGCCATTTCGAATGTCCAATTGCCATATATAATTAAAATTAAGATCTCTTTTGATTAATAATACATCTGCAGTACTTTGACTGTATTGACACATCGCTGACTATTGCGAAAAGAATTAGAATTTCATTCCTACAGGACTAGCATTTGCTCTTAACATATGTTCAGCTCCAGTTTGAAAGTTCCTCAGTTACTTTCCAGAATTGTATTATCTTGCCATTTGAGACCCAGAAGCAGTTCCCATCATCAACAAAAGTTCCTTTCCTTGTCCGCCAGATAGCGCTCTGTGTTTTTTTTTCTCTTTCAAATTGGACCCCTGCTGCAGGGTGGCGTCTCGTTCTTCAGCCAAAGATGACTGATGTTTTTGCAGTCTTGGATAACCGTAATCCTTGGATAAAAGACCTGATGGATGAGGAGAGCAGGAAATCAAGGAAGAAAAATTAGTCCACCTTGTCATGGTATTGGCAGACCTCTCCAAACCCAGTGAAGTTGAATGTTGGCTCAGTGTTCTGCTGTAGCTTCATTGCAGCACTAGATGGCAACAGCTCTCTGCTAATACCAATATGTTTTGTGATGAAATGAAACCTGAGAGAAAGGAGGCACTTTGGAGAGTGTTAAATAACTGACACACTTCCCATATTCAGATTTATCTGTGTGAACACATCTGCAGTATTACAACATCAAAATGACATCTATCTAAATAATGTCTTTGATCCCACACACAAGCGCCCGTTTTCCCGAACCTTCATTCATACGCACCTCAATGGCCATGTGGATATTTTGTTGTGTGGAATGTAGGGCTGTGCTGTAGTGGGGTGATATAGAGTTAGCTGGAGGCTGCTGCTCACTACGTGCGATGGTGTTTGTGAGTCTCTTGGTAGTCTTGATTATGAGTATGTGCAATATCTTGGCTTCGGCCTGAGGTGGGCCTGTCTCTTGGCCGAAATTCATAGGTTGCATATTTGTATAAACGCACGACTGACAGAAACATGCATGGGATGCATTATTCTAGCTTCTTTGTAACTCTTATGGAGTTTGTTCTTTGTTTGTTTTTTGAGGATATTTGTGTGGAAAATGAACAATGGCAGAAAAAAATTATGCTTCGTTCCAAGGGGGAGGAAATTACAAATGTAACAATTCCAGTACCTTAACAATTCTTTTAGTACTTTAAAGATAAATAAATAGATAGATAGATCGATAGATAGATAGATATAGAATTTAAAACCATTCTTGAAAAAGGTGTTTACACAGGCTTTTTATTGACTTTACAGTCTTTTTAGAGGCAGCATAAATGCAATCCATTCATTGGCTTTAAATATATAATAAACAACAATACTAAACAAATAAAAAATGGTAACATTTCATTCATTTATTTTATAAAATACCACTGACAAACTGCACAATGTGGTTCTTTAACTACATGTTGTTAGATTGGTAACTGGAAAGAACTGACCTAAAGAGTCATTTGTTCAGTAATCTGATTACACTGGCTGCAATAGGCTAAATGTTTTTGATTCACTAAAGTGAACCTGCACATAAGATTCATTCACTCAATCAGGCTACACTTGCTGCACTGTGTGTTTTTGATCCACTTAAAAGAACCGGTTCATACGGTTCATTCTTTCTGAAATTGAACTACACTGGTTTGTATGTGTTAAATCCCTTTAGAATACCAGATTCATGAGAGTCATTAGTTTGGGAATCAGATAACACAGTAGGATGTTTTTGATTCACTTAAAAGTGCCGGCCTCATAAGAGTTATTTCGTGTGGGAATCAGACTACATTGTTTGTGCTTGATTTCACATAAAAGAACAGATTCATTAGTGTCATTCATTTGGAAGTCGGACTAAACTGGCTTATGTCTCATTAAAAAAAAACAGTTCATAAGGGTCATCTTGCTATAATTGGACTATACTTGTCTGTTTTGTAATTTGATTCATCGTAAAATTTCATTATAATTTGATTTGCATTTATGTTTTGCCGTCAATATTCTGTTTGTTTGTAAGTTAGACGGACAGAAATACAGAGAGAAGAAACGGTTGGTGTGTAAAGTCTTTATAGCTCTTGGCAAAAACTCCTTGTGTTCCGGGTTGAATGGGCGGATGGCGGCGGTGGTTATCAGCACTGAGGAAACATTTGATTTGATTGACAGTGCCGTGTTGTCAGCGATTAACTCAACCTGACGATCTTTAAGTAGGAATAATACAGAGAGGAAAAGAGGAAAAACAAGAAATCAGAGTAGTTAGTCTTCTAATAAAATGAATCATTAATCTGAAGAGAAACATTTCCTCTGCATGTGCAATTTATGCTACTCTAGGGTGGGCAGCCCGTCCGTCATGCTATAACGGGCCACTCGTGGGAAAAAAAGTGTGATTCGGTGATCTAAATCAGTCTAAGTTGTCAGGAGTTGTTGTAAGGGGTGTTTTCTTTTGCATTTGTTTTATGATTGTGTGTTAGTGGGCCAAAGTAGCTTTTTGTCTTTGGAAAAGGTGTTTGCTGTTTCTTCTGGTTCTTTGGTTCTTGGTTCCTTCCCGTATTTTCTTATACAGGAAATGTTCTCAGCGAGGCTTACGCAAGCCAAAGGAAATTCCTGCTTGCGTATGAATTCAACTTTTTATCTCCCATCACTCCTCTCAGCTGGTTCACACTGGGAATAATCAACACTTGCTTTCGAAATACTCTTTTAGTGCAAAGAACTGACATAACTAGACTAGTATTCTTTGTAACATGACTAAGGGCCCTTTCACACCTTGTTTGGTCCGGACTTTCGGACTTTTCAGTTTGGTCCGAATCAAAATTACAGGTGTGAAACCTTCCCCGGACCACGGTCCGGACCAAACAGATGAAATTTGGTCAGACGAAAAGAGGTAGTCTCGGTCCGGATCAAACTGAACAAAGGTTTGGTTCGTTTCTATTGTGAAAGCATTTCTGTATGTTTCGGACTTTCAGACCTTTTACAGTTCTGGTGGTTCCCGCATAGCCGAAAAAACAGAAGGTGGCAGGAAAAATGAGCCGTGGTAGCACATGGGGAGAGGAGGAGACGAGGTTTTTAATTTAAGTATGGTCTGATGACATAATAAGAAGTCAACTTGCAGTCTTCTCCTCCTTTCCTGCCGGCGACGATAAAATGTTCACACGACGAGGACGTTCATTTGGCGAATTTGAACTAGCCTTGTGTATAGTTGGTGCTGCAGGTAATTATGCCATAAAAATAACAATATAGTTGCAACGATATGGGTCTGTTCATTCATGTTGTCAAAGTTACCCACCGAATTGACAGCACGCTGACGTCAGACGCACGTCCATTTACAAAACCAATCAATGTCAAGATGCAGCCCACATAGATGATGACGACAGGACGCAAGTATGTCACGTAAAGTTCTTTAGTGCGCTCGCATAATTGCAGTGTGAAAACAAACCAAAACTTTCTGAAAGTATAAAATGTATCAAAAACGTGAACTTTGGTTCGGAGCTTGGTGCGGACTTTCAGGTGTGAAAACGCCCTAAATCTATTTTTTTTTTACATCCATTTTTTTTTGGATGTTCTTGGGTAATATTGAATATTTCACCCAAGAATCATAGTGTATTTTTTGTGGAATATTTTGGGAGAACTATTCCTTTAAGATGTTCAGTTAGCTCAAAATTATTTTAAAGCATTTCCCGTTCTTTTTAAAAGATCGATTCCCCTCACTCTCCCATCAATAAAGTAGCAAGTGAAGAACAGTGGCGCGTTGTACGGCAAAGTTCAGGGAGTAGAGTGTGACCCGGTGGTTGCTGCGGTGATAAGCCTTTCCTGCTTTTAGCGCCTTTCAACAGGTCGACGGGTCGTACGCTCCCCCGCCGAAGGGCATAGTTCTGGACCGGATTATCGGGTACGGCTTTAACAGCTGGGTTCATGCTAGCCCCTCAAAACCCTAAAGCAACAACCTTCAGGACCGGTAACGCCTGCCATGCCTTACAGGAAAAACAAACTCACCCTTAATCTCCGCATCGCCTGGCTGAAAATGGATGCTGGTGTTTTGGTCTCTCAGGGCTTTGTGGGAGGCTGTGGTAATAATAGTGTAGAGAAGGCATGAGGGGATATTGGAGCCCTGCTTATAGAGAAGCTTTAATAAAGGGATAAAGTGCATCAGCATCTCTCCATCACCTTCTACAAGCCCTGTACACATTGAAGCTCTTTTTCAGAACCTAGTAAGCTGCCTTATTGCCTACACTGATCAAAAGTTTGGGGTCGGTAAGAGTTTCTTTTTTTTTTTTTTAAATAAATGAGTACTTTTATTCTGCAAGGAGACATACAATTTATCAAAAGTGAGGGTAAAGAGTCAAGACCTTTATAATGATACAATGAATTCTATTTCAAATAAATCCAGTTTTTTTAAAGGGACAATGTGTAGGAATTTCTCCCATCTAGCGGTGAAAATGTATTTTGCATTCAAACGAATTGTGCTCTCCAGTGCCTCGCTTTTTCAAATGCGCGTTGCATCTACGGTAGCCATTATGTACCAAAAAGCTATGACAGGATGTCTTCTAATAGCACTTCGTCGAGTTTTCCTTCGGGTGAACAGGTTTGTTATTTCAAACAAACTGCAACTTGACACAACGAACAAACGAATGTTACAGTATGAATTACTGACTGTGAAAAAGATGAACTATTGTAATAAGTATGCCTTCTTTATTCGTTATATTTTCTGAAGTACGTGCATTGTTAGATATTATCATCATCAACTTTTAACTATAAATGTTCATCTGTCTATAAAATAAAGTTCACAACCAAACAATGAAAAAAAGCTTGTAATTAAGACTGTAACGTTGACTTACCTGTCGAGAAGAAAGCAGGACTTCAGCGTCTCTTGAAATCTTTCTCCTGCATTAGCTCTATCCA